CAGATTCCACATATAAGGGATATCATATGGCATTTTTCTTTCCCTTTCTGGCTTACTTCACTTAGTATGACAATCTCTAGGTCCATCCATGTTGCTGCAAATGGCATTATTTTATTCCTTTTTATGGCTGAGTAGTATTCCATTGTGTATATATACCACATCTTTATCCAGTCATCTATTGATGGACATTTGGGTTGTTTCCATGTCTTAGCTATTGTAAATAGTGCTGCTGTGAACATTGGGGTGCAGGTGTATTTTTGAACTATATTTTTCTCCAGATACATGCCCAAGAGTGGGATTGCTGGATCATATAGTAAGTGAATTTTTAGTTTTTCAAGGAAACTTAGGAGGGTGATTTTAACAGCTGCCTTGTTTTCAGTCTTGTCTCCTTTGATTCTGTTATCTCCCTGCAGCCAGATGCCACAGTATCATGGCTCAGCGTGATGCTCCCCCTGCCTCCACAACTCCAGGCTTCCTGGGATCTGACCCTTGTTCGCAGCTCCTACGTCATCTACGGCTTTTCCCCACATACTATGCTGCAGCCTATCTGTGGGTCTCTGAGCTTTTCCCTCCTCCATACCTTTCCAGACACTATTCTCTCTGCCTGGATCACTCTGTCTCCAACCTCCTACTTCTTATTTACAGTCCCCTACTTCCAGGAAGTCTTTCCTAAACTCCACAGGCTTGCTGGTACTGCTCTTCTGTGCTCCTATGCCTCTCTGAGCTGATTACAATCACATTCAGTTACCTACTTATGTATCTGTCACCCTCCAAATGCTCTAAGATCTTTGTGGTCAGGGATCCTGTCTTTGAAGTTCTAATCAGCACCTAGTAGGACTTGTTGAGTAAACAAATGGACAGAGTCACAATAATGTATGCTCCAGACCCTCTCCTGTGAGTAATGCCTCAAACTTACAGTGTCCAAGTCAGTGAAAGCTTGGTGGAAAGACGCAAGTCTCTGCCTCAGGGCCTTTGCACTTGCTGTTCCCACTGCCTGCAATGTTCTTCCTCAGATATCTCCCTGATTCATTTTATTACTTCTCCCAGCTTCTGCTTATCAGAGAGACCTTCCCCAAGCATCCTAAAATAACACCCTCATCACCCTATCACCCTTGTTCTTCTCCCAAAGTGCTTACTACCACCTGATGTATCACACAGCTATTGTTTAAATGTATCCCCCTTTTAAACATAAGCTCCTTACCAGCGAGAGCTCTATTTTGATCACTGGCAGTTGCCATGCTGCCAATAAAAGTGTCTGGCCTTGAATTTATGCTCAAAATATGCGTTGAATATGAAATGAATAATTAACTGATAGAAAACAAGAAAAAAAAAGAAAAAATAAAGGAAAGAAAAAGAAAAGGAACAGAGGGACAAAAGGATACATTCTGATGTGCTTCTGCCCCCTGGCTCTTGCCTTTGGCCCTTGTTTTTATTTCTCTTCATGTCCTCTTGTACCTGAGTCAGAGTATAGATGATTCTGCGCATGTCCAGCCAGGCCCTGCTGACCATGGATGTCCTCCCACCTAAAGCTCATATGCAAAGGCGGCAGGCATGGGGGTTCAGTGTGTGTCTGCATGTGATATGAGGCCCCTTAACTCGAGATAAGCAGTCCCCAGAGCTCCCTGTTTGCTGATACACATATGTGGTTTTTCCCTGGGATCAGAGGCTCTAATAATGTGACAGGGCCTTGGTCTTTCCTGGAAAGCCACAGCTGGGCTCCAGGGGAGCAGCTGGCATCAGGACGGACGTTTCCCATTAGCATCAGCTTCCATTGGTCTCCTTGTTGAAGAAGCCCGGAGAGCCTTGTATTCCAAGGTCTCCCGGGTGCACCAGTCTCTGCTTGTGCCTCCAAGGAGCCTCCTGGAGGCTCTCCTTGCAATTATCTCCTCTCAGTGGGGTTAATGGTCTGCTTTCTGCTTCTGTTAACAAGGCTCTGTAAACAGATCCACATACTCTGCATTGGGAGGGAGAAGTGCAAAGGATGGAGGGGTCCCTGGGACATGCCAGGTACATCACCTCCAAGGATTGTGATTCCTGAAGGCAGGACCCGTGTCTGTCTTATTCACATCGGTCTTTTCCTGGCACCCAGTTTGGTGCCTGGCTCCTACTGGGTTCTCAAATAAATGTTCTAGAAAACTGGATGAACCTTGTGAGGGTATCACTGTTATCCCCATTGGACAGAAGCAGCAGGCCCCTGGTACATCTGCCACTTCTGCAATGCCCGACACACTGATAATTATGTGTTCAGGTTCTTTCTCCCCTGACAGACCTTAAGATTCGGGAGGGCAGGGATCGTTCACTGCTGCATCCCCAGCAGTGCTTGGCACATAGTAGGTGCTCAGCAAATACTTCTCGACTGATGGACTGATTGTGCAGATGGATGAAGCTCAGAGACACCGTGTATTTTATTTAAGGTCACAGAACCAGAGTTGAACCCAGTTTCTGTGACCAGACGGCGAACTCCATGAGGGCAGGGATCAGAGTCTGGTTTCCTCACCATTGGATCCTTAGCACCATGGACAGTGCCTTTATAAGCGCAGGCTCCCGATAAATATTTGTCCAGTAAATGAAGGACTCGCAGACTGAGCTTTTGAAAACTATTATTTTGCCACACTCTTTAAGGAGATAGGGGCCTCAAGTGCAGAAACATCACAAGTCCCATTTTGAGAGAAGGCAGCATTTAAAGACACAGGCTGTTTTCTGATAGCAAGGATTAAAGGGGAGAAGATAGGAGCAGAGAGACTGAAGCATGAGTTCCCTTTTCTGTGGCTGGAGTGCTAGCCTGCATCACCTCGCCAGTCAGCAGGAATAGAGTTGGTAGCCACAGGGCACAGGGCTTCCGGCCGCTGATCATTGAGACATCAGGGTCAAGGTGGCCAACAGAAGCAGAGGCAGCCAGACCTTCAGGGGCCCTGAAAAGACAGTAATTACAGGGCTGCTGCCAGCACTGATGTGCCTTGTGCAAAAGTAACATACGATGCCTCCTCTAGACTGACCAGTTAGGAAAGGACACCTTCTCCGGGATGATCAGTTAGGAAAAGGAAGCTTTCTCTTTATCTGCCCTGAAAACCAATTAGAAAAAGGTGTCCACCTTGGGTAGAAAAATAGAAAAAGTGCCCTCTTAGGTGGGACAGTCTAGATAAGGCAGACTTTCCTCAGGCACTAAGGTTGGTATTCCTTCAACAGGGCACACCTGTGCGGTGACCAACCTACTCAATGCCAGTGACCTTCAGGAACATTTACAAAGGGCAAGCCTCTTGGGGACACCTTGACTCTCCAGCTCTGAGCTCACTGATACAGGGCTGAACTAGCTCAGGTCAAACACTAGGCTAGTGTAACAACCCTGTCAGATCTGGGTGCCAGGAGCCAAGCAAGGCAGCAGTTATATGGTTTTACTTCTCATCCAGATTTTCAGATAATTCAGTGGCCATAAAAATCAAGGGCCATGAAAATGCCACCAGTCCCTGGCCTTTGTGGTCAGAGGAGCAGAGAAGCTGAAAAACAGGGTTTCTCATTTGTCTGCTGTGTTCACCCCAGCACTAAGCATTGTGCTTGGCACATAGCAGCTCTCAACATATATTTGTCACCCATTGAATGAATCCTGTAAACGGTGATAGAGACGAGCCATGAAGTTTCAGGAAGTGCCCCCGGTGCAGTTGTAGACTGTGTGCTTGTCCACTGTGCACAGGTGTGTAACAAGCGTGTGTATGTCTGTGTATGCAGAAAGGCAGGCATGCCGCTGCAGATGTCACACATCTCTGTGTGTAAGTATGAATATGTGCATGTGACCGCATGTGTGTGAGTGTGCAAACGTGTGTGGGTGATGTAGGTTCTTGAGCGCCTGTCTGTGCGTGCCTCCACCCATGCTCATGTGCGCACTATCGTGGGACAGCACAGGTCTACGTGCATATGTGCAGCCCCAGGTCCAAGAGTTTCCAGAGATGCAGTCGCCTCTTCAGAGCTCAGACCAAGCAGGCCGAGCACTCCCGGCACACCCTGGACCCACAGATAAAAGCCCCAGAGGAAGGTTTTCAGGTGCAGGTCCTTGTGCAAAGAGGACCTGAACTTACCTGAGCTGCTGGGAGCAGCCCTGGAGACTGTGGCCTGGCTCCCTGCGGGAGGAAACAGAGGGATCAGCCCCCAGGGAAGCCCAGGAGAGGCCCCTTCCATCTGCTCCCCTCCCTGCAGTGAGTGGTCTTTTTCAAACCCCAGTCTGATCATGTCACGCCCCTGCTTGGACCCTTCAGGGGCTGCCAGCTACTTTCAGGAGAAAGGCCCAGAACTCTAGCAAGAACTATGTGTCAACTGTATTTCAATTTAAAAAAAAAAGAAGAAGAACCACAAGGCTTCCCACGGTCTGGCCCGCCACCTGTAACAACTCACCTACATCCACCTCCTCCTCCTTGCAGCCTGCCTGGCCTTCTCGCGGTTCCTCTAGCAGGCTGGGCTCCCTCCTACCAGGCCCTTTGCCTTCGTTCTACCCTCCACCTGAGACTCCTCCCTTTCCCCTGCTTCCCCTGATCCCTCATAGTTAATCACTTCTCAGTTCCCAAGTCTCAGGGCCATTCTTCCCCAGTGCTCCACACTGGGTCTGGTTCCCCCTCTGGAAGAGCTCAGAGTTCCTGATACATTTTCTTGACAAGAAATTGCAGAGATGGGTAATTATCTGAATGACGTCTCTCCTACAGGTCCATAAGTTCCACAGGAAACAGGTTTGTGTCTGTAATTACGCATCATGACAGCCCCTAACCACGAGCACAGGGCCTGGCACACAGCAGGCACGAGAATACATCTGTGCAATGAATGAATGAATGAGAACTGCCGAAGGAAGGCAGCTTACAGTCCACCTCGCCTCGCAGAATTCACTTGCTCCAGTTTCTCAGATCCCAGTGAGATCCAAGTGCCAGGTTCTGTCTTCCCTCCTCATCTCCAGAAAGCATGCCTCACCAGGAACGGGCAGGACAGAGTGGCCCGCTTACCTTTCCGTGTGATGGGACCCAAGTTCAGGACATGGCTTTGGTCAATGGTGCCCCCACTGCGGAATCTGGTCCCGGAGCAGGTCTGCAGGGAGAGGGTGACAAATAAACTCTTGCCCTGAGGGAGACTGAATGTGGTCCTGCCACGGGGAGTGGGCTGCGCCCTTCACAGGAGCATCCTCCTGCCTCAGGCTGGGACTTGAGGATGGTAGAGGCAGGAGTTACTGGGAGACCTGTATACCTGGCTTCATGTCCCAGCTCTACCATTTGTGAGACGTATGATCTCAGGAAAACCAGGTAAGTTTCCCCCCCATCTACAAAAAAGGGGTCGTGAAATACATCTCTTACAGAGTTGCTGGGAAGTATTAAGAAGTTAACACACATAAGTTACATGCAGTGCTTAAAAATATCAGTTTCTGCGAATGTGTGTATGTACATGCATGACTGGGACACTGCTGTACGCCAGACATTGACACATCGTAACTGACTGTACTTCAATTAAAAAAAAAAATAAACAGGAAACAGAAAGAATATCAGTTTCCATTGTCATAACACAGGATTGCAGATAAGCCTGAACCTTTACCGACTGCACTGCCCTGATTCCACCTAAATTCCCAACAGGTTAGCACCACACCCACCTCATCTTACAGCTCAGTCTACCCCGGACTAAGAGAAAGAAACACAGCAGGAATGTTTACTTGTTACCTTTTAACCTCATGGTCAAATGACTTTGGTGACGGGAGCTGGGTGGGGGGAGGGTGTGGCGAGCCAGCTGAGGGAGGGGAGGGGACTCACAGGTTTGCACTTTTCCTTCATGGTGTCACAGAGATACACCTCACAGTGCAGGTAGACCAGGTCGTAGTTTCCTGCAAATTGGAACATCTGGACGGAAAACCGGCCTTGAGGGGATTCCCCGTTCTCCACCACTTGGACGGTTGAGTCCTCAGTGCGGGGACATCTGGAAGGGTTACATCATATGACATGGTCGGTTAAGCAGACGCTCTGGGGACAGACTTCCTGGGTTCAAATCTCATTCTACCACCTATTAGCTCGTGGTGTGACCGTGGGCAATTTACTTCATCTCCCTGCGCCTCAGTGTCCCTATCGATGTGTGAGGAATTCTAATTGTAGTCCACATCATAAGATAATTGTGAGGATGAAAGGAGTTAAATTTTTCAAAGTGCTTATCACAATAGATGGGGTACAGTAGGTCCTGCATAGATGCGATACTACAATAAAAATGTCAGCTGTACGGAGCTGAAACTCTCCCAAAGTGAACACTTTTATACTCAGACCAAAGAAAAGCGTCAAACTCCCTGCACAGAAGGTAATACTGATGCTTATTTCACATATGAGAACATGAAAATCCGGAGAGATGAGCTCACTTGTGTCTCGAGCCAAGAAACAGCAAGGTCAAGATAGGAACCCGAAACTCCACGATGCCCCAGTCGTGGTCATGCCAAACTCCCTCAAATTTCAGTTCTTTCTCGCCTTATCTGGAAACCACTTTTGTGCATGTCTTCCTCTGTTTCCCAACGTGTGTATTATTATTTTCTTACCATTTTTCTTAAAATCGACACACATCTTTGCTGAAATAATCTATTTTTTTCAGAAGACCATGAGCACAAATAGCAAACCAGGGTTACTTGTCATATACAAAACATGACCATATAAATAAATACAAATTACAGGAGTGCTATTAAATTTTACTTAGACACTGATGACTGTAAAAGGCCCAGAACAGACTTCTGCTCTCCTTTCTTCTTGTTGCAAATGGAAATTAGCAAATAACAGAATTGTGAGCATCAGACTAGCACCCAGTTGAGACTCCTCCCTTGATGTAACCAGGCAGATGCTAAGAGAACCGAAGTAGGTCAGTGTCTCCCGGTGGGGGAGGGGGAGGGCTTTCTCTGACTGCACTATTCAAACTGCAAATGCCCCTCCCCTTTCCCTGCTTTTTTTTTTTCCCTCTATCATCCCTTTACTCCTAACCTGCCACAGATTTCACTCTTGTTTAATTGTTGGAATTGTTGGTTTCCCCACTTAGAATGTCAGCTATAAAAGGACAGAGATTTTTGTCCCTTCTAGTCACTGTGTTATCCACACAGCCTGGCACACAGTAAGCTTCCAAAAATATCTGTTCAATTTATGAATGAAAATGTGAACTTATTTCTCACTGTGTGGTTCACGACTCTGATGTGATTGAGCAAAAAGCAGCCCATCTGTGTCCTCCCTGCTTCAATTGGCCCGTGGCTAACCATGTTCCTCCCAGTCAAGTCCTAGCCTGCCTTTCAATCAGTTTTCTCATCCTTTTACAAGTCCTGGACCCCTTCAGCAACCTGGTGAAACCCAGGCATGCCTCCTCAAAACAATGTCTTATACACACACAATAAACTATACAAGACTAAAAAGAAAACCAATTAAACTGAAACATAGTTCTCAAAATATTAAAACATTTGATATCTGCCTTAAGTATTTACATATTCATTATATCAATATATTTATTTACAACTATATGTCTATTTGATAATACCTTAAATAATATGATCTAGCAGAATTCTAATGCTATAGTAACTAAAAAGTATTGATGTGTATAAACTTTTTCACGTGTCCTGCTAATATTTCTGTGGTTTGTTGCCTATATTCCTAATGAATGGCAAAACTAAATTTCAGCTAGAGGTGAATGAATGTAAAGATATACTTTGTTACAATAGCCAAGACATGGAAACAGCCTAAATGTCCATCAACAGATGACTGGATAAAGAAGATGTAGTATATTTATACAATGGAATACTATTCGGCCATGAAAACTGACAACATAATGCCATTTGCAGGAACATGGATGTTCCTGGAGAATGTCATTCTAAGTGAAGAAAGCCAGAAAGAGAAAGAAAAATACCATTTGAGAGCACTCATATGTGGAATCTAAAAAAAAAGAAAATCATAAATACAAAACAGAAACAGACTCATAGACATAGGATATAAAGTTGTGGTTGCCAAACAGACTCACAGACATAGGATATAAAGTTGTGGGTAGGGGGTAGGAAGGGACAGACTGGGATTTCAAAATGCAGAGTAGAAAAACAAGATTATACTGTATAGCACAGGGAAATATATACAAGAGCTTGTGGTAGCTCACAGTGAAAAAAATATGGCAATGAATATATGTATGTTCATGTATAACTGAAAAATTGTGCTCTATACTGGAATTTGACACAACATTGTAAAATGACTATAACTCAATAAAAAAATGTTAAAAAATATATATATATACTTTGCATCCATCCAAGTCCAAAGACTCCCCCACCCCAAATTCCCTCCCTGGGCCTTGCCTGTCCTGGATGATGAAGTACTTCAAGGGGTCTGTGGCATTGCTGCTGGGCGTGGCGTAGCAGTTGGTCATCAGCAGTGCAAACCGGGACAAGTCGCCCCCATCCAGCATGGTGCCCACGTAGAGAAAGGCCTCAGTGGACAGGGTCACGGAGGAGCCTTGGTAGGGCTGTGTGTAGGCAGGGGTCTGGAAGAGCGCCATCCGCACGGTGAACATGCCGGTCCCACCCACGCTGAGGTTCAGAGCGCTGCAGGAGGAGAGGGGTTGGTGGCAGAACCAGAGCTGAGGAGGCCACAGCAGGCCACCCTTTCTGGTCTGCCTTCCTGGCCAGTCCCTGGCAGCTAACTGCCTTTTGACCCAGCAGTAGAACCGGCGCCCACCAACCACTGCTTTGCAAACTGCAAGGCTCACACACAGGTCCCCTCGGGTTCTGTGGCTTTGGGGTGGGTCTCAAGGTTCTGCATTTCGAACACGCTCCCAGGTGATGCTAATGTTGCTAACCCACAGGCCGTATTTTTGGGTAACAGGCCTACCGCCTCAGTTGGTGGCCTCTGCATTCAAGTGCATGTTTTTTGGATCTCAATCTAGAACAGTTTAAAAAGATGGGTTATGAGTCCTACAGGCCTAAGTCAGAGTTCTGGCTCTACCTACAGCAGAAGATTGGAGTTTTGAAGGTGGGTTATTTAAAGTCCATTAAAAATAGCTACCCTGATGTAAATTCCTCAGAGTAAGGACTGATGCCCCAGGAAGTGGGGTGCATGAGAAATACTCAGTAATGTGGAAGTCCATTTTAGAGGCAAGAACTGGGTTATCGGTTTGGACTCAAAGAGTTAGACTGGGATGAGATTTCCAGCTCAAACCAGAGAAAGACAGCTGCACACAGATGTGTTACTCCCTGGAACCCACCAGGCCTGGAACATGGCCACGTTGCTCCAGGGCGCTGCTTGGCCAAGAGATGCTCCAGAGAAAGGGAGACATGAGCAATCTCCTTCCTCCAGTCAGCCAGGCACCCTCATCAGTATCCAGTGTCCTTCCCCAAGTCTGTTGGCCCAGAGAACACGCGACCACGGGCAAGCTTCTAAGTAAAGGTCATGGTAGAATGGGGGCTCTATGCCTGATGGCCTGGGTTCGAATCCAGCTCTGTCACTTACTAGCCTCTACAACTTTGGACAAGTTACTAAACCTTCTCTGAGCTTCAATTTCTGTATCTGTATAAGGAGAATAATAGTAATGCTCACACCCCCTAGGGTGTGCTAAGATTTCAGTGCAATGTTCCACGTAGAGCACTTAGCATGAAGCCTGACATGTAGTCAGCTCTCCATAAACGCTTCTTATTATTACGACTATTATTTTTTCCAGCATCAGCATCATTGGCCTGTGATTCATCCTATTCAGAGATTTTTTGAGTTTATTTAGCAACAGGATCCTTTTATTTTTTCAAATAATAAAACCTCATGTGACAATCAATGTGGGTAGAACTTCTCTGATTCACACCCCAAACCACCTCCTTAAAGGCCTCAAACTCCAAGAAGCATCATTTGCAAACCCCTCTTGGTTCAAACTCCTTCTATTTATAGAGAAAGAAAGAAACTGAAGTCCAAGTACGGGATACGATTTGCCCAGTGCCCCGGCAGGTCTGAACTGAAGCTTCTTCCTTCTTCCCTCTGGTCTAACCGCCCAACCCCTCTAATAAGCCAAGGACCCTCATCTTGGATTCACATCTGCAGAGCACTTTTGTGCTTCTAAGAAAGGCAGCACTAGAGGGGAGGGTATAGCTCAAATGGTAGAGTGCATGTTTAGCATGCATGAGGTCCTGGGTTCAATTCCCAGGGCCTCCTCTAAGAATAAATAGGTAAATAAATAAACCTACTTACCTCCCCACCCCCACCCCACCCAAAAAAACTAAGAAAAGCAGCACAGTATTGCTAAGACCATTTCACATATCAGAAGACTGAGACCAGTGTGGGGCTATCAACTTCCCAAAGTCATCTGTGTGGTGGAGGCAGGATTTGAATATGGGCTCCAGATTTCCTAGCTGGGCTCTTTATGGCGTCCAACACTGCCTCCCAGTTGCCCTCGCCCTTACCAGGGAAGCTTAGGGGTTGTGCGGGTGGAGCCAGCCAGGGACTCGGGGGGACCCTCTCTGGCCGCACCTGACCACTGGCTGCAGGGAAGTCTTCAGGCTGACTTTCATGTCCAGGGGATAGGAGCAGGCAAAGTTGATTTTGATGTTGACGTCACGGATGATGATCTCATCTGCCAGGTAGAGGGTGTTGCTGTATGTGGCATGGGTTTCATTCCTCTGTGTTGGGGTGGGGAAGTGGGAGAAAGGGGCACAGTATCTGAGTAGGATTCAAAGCCAAAGGCATTTTCTCTAGCCACCTGTGAGCTGCCCTCCCAGTTTCCGGGATCAAAAGTTACAATGCAACCATTTATGAGCACGAGTCAGGAGCTAGGCCCCACCCCCACCCTGATCCCAAGCTGAATGCTCCTTCTGCAACCCTGCATTAGCCCTTGAATAACCCTGAGGCAGAGCTACCACTTCCCCGTCTCGTAATGAAGAGACAGAGGTTCATAGGAGCTGAGTAACTTGCCCACATACTTGGGGAGGGGGGGTCTAACAAGCCTGGATGCTTCCCATCACCCCGTGCTTCCTCTCACCAACACTAAAAAGACTGAAAATCATGTACTGAGTCATCATTAATGGTGGAATTTCAAAAGCCAGGTTTGGCAAATGACAGTTTCTTCTTTCGCTTCTTTTGTCTTCTTTCTTTTACTTTTGGGGAATGAGGGGGACGGGAGGAAGCTGTGCCCACTCACACAGACGTTTACCTCTGCGTCCCTCTGCGGTTGGCTTCTGTAGGTGAGGTCCCAGTTCTCCAATCAGTGATGCAGACCCTGCCTTCCAGGGCCACCAGCGACAAAGCCCTGCTTCTGAACCCAGCACTGATACCCATGGGCTTAGAATAGTCACTGCCCGTCTGGGCCCTACTTTCCCATCTGTAAAATGGGGAACTATCACCATGGATTGCCCTCTTTATTTAAGGCTAACATTTATTGAGCACTTATGTGCCAGTCACTGTACTAATCACATCATGCACATTAACTCCTTTAACCCTCTCAACCCTATAAAGTAGGCACCATTATCATTCCATTTCACAGTTGAGGAAACTGAGGCCAGTCAGGTTGAAGAACTCACTCAAGTTCGTACAACTAGTAAGTGGTAGAGCTGAGCTTCGACCAGGCAGTGCTCCAACCCTGTCCCACACTGGCCAGAACGTACCGTCATCACTGTCCCACAGGGGCCTTCCCTGGTCGGGGTCACCACAGACACCCAGTCCCGGTCACCGCTCTCAGAGAAGCCTGAGCACTGGCTGTCTCGCAGGTACATGATGATCTTCTCAAAGCCCAGGGTCTTGAGCTGGCACTTGCTCAGGGATACCTTGATGCCATTGACCCCACATTCCAGCCTGCGCTCCAGGAGGGAGAGATCTGAAATGGTTAGGGAAGGCAGGATTGGAGCTAGTGACCACAGTTCAGGGCCCAGCACATCCTAGGACCCAGGCCTAGTTAGTCAAGTTGGCCGCCAGCTAGGGGTATTCAGAGTTGCCCCAGTCTGGTCACGCTGTGGTCTCCCCTCTCAGAGTGAGGGAGACACAAGACTGGCTTCATTGGATGGATCCATGCAGACAACTACCCGCCCATGCTACTCTAAGCACAGGCTGTATTCCGAGGACAGTGTTATCTTGGGGCTGTTCACTGCCCCAGCACTAAGCAACATTCAGTCCCAGTAAAACAAAACAAAACAGCAAGCAACCAAACGAACAAAAAAGCTAATAAATTAATTGCAATTTCTTTCCATCCTTTCTGCATCGAGGAAACAGTCCTCAAATGCTGCTAATGTGTTCAATGTCTTGTACTTGCTGGTTTTCCTTTTAAAACAGCAGAGCGCAGACCTCTGGCTAAGTATCTGGGGACATGTAACAGCATCCAGATGGATTTTAAAAAATTTAAGTGTTGCACAGCTGCTGAAATGCAGTAGCTTTCTTTCATTGTATTCATTTTTACTGTTACCCTCTTTCTAAGGTAAGTGCTACTTACCACAGATAAACCTAGTAGTAGGCATCAATGTCCCAGGTTTACTTAAAAGAAGGATGCAATCAATTTGGAAAAAGAATTAATAAAAATGTCAGTATAGGTGGTACTTGGATAAAACAAAATGGTGAAACTGGTACTTGGATGTGATAAAATCATGACTAGAATTTGGGAATCCGAGTCACTTATATATAATGGGGAAACAGGCTTAGAGATGGCCAGAGCCCTGCTCAGGGTCCTCAGCTGGTCAGTGGAGGGCCCAGCCCAGACACCGCAGACTGGAGGCCACACTTGTGTTCTTGTTGCTACAGGAATATGGCTCAGTTAGTCTTTGGCCAACAGGTGGCCGCCACCCGCATGTCCACTGTGGTGTAGGGGGGCCTCTGAAAGAAGGCTGGGGTGTAGGCGAGGTGGTTCCCCACGCTGTGGGAGATTTCCTGTTAACTAAGGGGAGACTCCGAGAGCCCAGAGAGCTTCCTGCTGGTTTTAATGACTATTACTGGACTGGCTTTTCACTCAGACTGGATAATATGCATTCCCTGGGTCATCCGCCCAGGCACCCAATCCGCACCCAGGAATGTGTGTCGCCCCTGGTTGCCGACGTTTCTCAGCACCTCCCATCCCCCTCCCAGGACTCACCAGTGATGTTAAAGTCCTGTTTGCAGTGGCAGTGCCATCTACCATTATCTGATCTGCACTCCTCATCAATACTGCACTCCTCACACGTTCCCTCCACGGAGCTGGGGTCTGCAGTCATAGACACAGACAGTCAACAAGGATGCGCTCCAGTCTCTGGAGGCCCATCGGGCTTGGGGTGGGATGGAGGGAGATGCCCGCTCACCTGTGCAATACGCCAGATGGCACTCGGGGGGCGCCGTGAGGTTGTAGACGAAGTAGCCGCCGTCACAGGCCTTCACCTGGACGGGCGCGTCCCACAGGCAGCAGTCGCCGCTCCAGTGCGCACAGGCCGTGCGGCTCACGATGCCCTCGTCGCTGGACGGGTGCGTGCCGTTGAGCCACATGGGCGCGGCCGTGTTGCAGCGCAGGATGGGCACGCAGGTCTCGGGCAGGCGCACGCCGCCCTGCCCCACGAAGCGGTACCAGCCGCCCAGGTTCGAGTCGCAGGTGAAGCCAGTCCCGTACTGCGTGCTGCGCCAGTACTGGTCTAGGATGTGGTGCGCCTGGCACGGATCGGCGCACACGAGCGCGTCGCCCTCGGGCAGGCAGTCCAGCCCCGGCCCGCAGGAGCCCGGGGAGCACTCACAGTGCCGCCCGTCCCCCCAGTAGCCCGCGGGGCACACGCACGAGTAGTTGCCCTCGCCGTTGACGCAGGTGGCCAGGGCATGGCAGTGGCTGAGCCCCGGCTCCGCGCACTCGTCCACGTCGGTGCAGCCGAGCTCTGGGCTCAGGCGGAAGCCGTCAGGGCAGACGCACGCGTAGGAGCCCGGCGTGTTCACACAGCTGCTGTCGGCGGAGCAGTTGTGGGCCCCAGGAAGGTCGCACTCGTCCAGGTCCACGCACACCAGGCCGTCGCCAGTGAAGCCCTCTAGGCAGGAGCACGTCGTGGCAACCCCGTCCAACTTGCAGGTGGCGTTGCTGTGACATTCAGAGCAATTTCCTGTGGACAAAAGAGCCCAGACTCAGAGTGGGGACAGCCGGGCCAGTGATCACCCAGAGGTCACCCAGAGACTTTTCCTACATCCCTTAGGCTACCTGTGTACTTTAAGACTCAGTCCCTGGCCGACCTCTTCCAAAAGAAACAAACCAAATTCCCCTGATGATGTCTGAACGTTCACTTTCATTTTTCTGTATTAAGCATTGTCTTCTAGCTGTGTCTTCTCAAACATCCACCTGTCCACCCCCAGAGGAGTGATGCAGAGTTCTGGACGCTTTGGTAGGACTTAGGTGATGCAGTCACCCCTTCGCCCCCTTGGTAATTTCTACGCCTTTTGCTCAGATCTCCTTCCCTGCCTCCTCTCTCTACCTGGTTGTGGCAGTCACACTTTGTCTGTTCCTCTGTGGCAATAATTACAGTAGAGATAGTGAGCTGTCGTTTATATGCCAGGCACGGGGATAAGCCCTTTTCATTCATTATCTCGTTGAATCCTCTCCAATGGCCCTATGATATGACCTTTATATTTCCCCATTTTAAAGAGGAAACTTGAGCTTCAGAAGGTTTAAGCCACTCGCTCCATTGGTAAGCAGCTGAGCCAGGACACAACCTCAGGTGGCAGGACCACAGCCTAACCACAACAACACAATGGTATCTCCTCTCTGTCCAGCTGGGGTTGAGGGGAGGGGCCCAGTTCCCTTTCCCAAGGAAAAGCAATGTGCAACCCAATGGAATGGTCACTTAAGTGTGAAAGGGGAGGTATTTGGAAGCCACTCAGGTGTATTCAAATCTCCTGTGTGGTTGAGTATGTTCCTGACCTTCCAGTAAAATGCCAGAGGGCCTCAGTGATGTTCTAGGCTTTTGCCTCTCAACGTGTGAGCCAAGGACCACAACATCAGCATTATTTGGGAGCTTGTTAGAATACAGGGTGTCAGACCCCACTCCAGACCTACCAAATCAGAGTCCACATTTTAGTAAAATTCCGAGGTGAGTCCAGAGTGCATTAAAGGATAAGAAATGGATTTAGAATAAATTCTATGCAAATCCCAAGCATGATAGGAGAGGGGCTGAGACCTCCTCTGCTAATGGTGGTGTTGCTCCCCCCCACACACACACCACTTACGTGCTTCCGAGGAGTCAGCGGCTGCAGCTACGATGGCCCAGCAGGTCACCACCACTACCATCCGCATTGAGGTTGGAGAGAAAAGCCACCCCATCCTTTCTGCTGTTCACAGCTACTTCTGGTCCTGGGAAGACCTGCCCAAACGCAAGGACAGGTTGGCCCTTGGGGGTTTCCTCCTGGTCCCTGACACCTGAAATCCTGTGAACAGAGACGGGTGGGATAAATGCATGATCTAACTCCCTTCCCCACAGTTGGGAGGAGAGCTTTGGTTGTGCGTGGCACAACTCCAGGAGATGCCATTCATGTGAACTACAGAAAGTATGTCATGGTCCTTGCTTTGATGATGTTTTCCCCTCTGTGGCCCCACTCTTAATTCTCACCCGCATCCCAGTCTGGAAGGACAGAGGCTGTCATCCGGAGCAGGAAGCAAAAAGACAGTGTAGTGCTCTGGACTCACCATCTTATTGGAGGCAGCTTTGGGTTTTAACAGCCAACTCTCGATCCCCTGTTGGCAAACTTTCAACTTGCCCAGATGCATTCATTCATTCAATAAGCACTTATTGAGTAGTTACTATGTGCCAAACAGGGAACTACACCTCAAGGGAAACATGAACACTACAGACAAAGTCCTTGACTTCATGCAACTCTCATGTTGTAAAGAAGTGGCTTGGGACCAGCAACTTGAGAGAGGATGAACCATCACAATGCATTGTAACGTTTCCAGAGTGCTCCCCTGGGAGGAAATAATTCTAAGGGGAATCCTACCCTAGTTTTTACAGCAGCAAAATAGAGTAGCACGGTGGTTAAGTGTATGGGATTGGAGTCTGCAACCACGATTCAAATCCCTGTTTTATCAATCACTGTGACTGGTAAACTCATAGTGTGACATTGGGCAATGCATTTCAATTCGCTAAGACTCAGTGAATCTCTATGAAATAGAGATCGTTAGTGCCTACAATGTACGAGGCTCAGTTTGGAGAAGTCCCCTGTGGTCAGAGAAACTATCCTATAAAGTGTTTTCCAAGCCTTTGTGACCATGATATGCTAGAAGGAAAACAGGCCGCGACCCAGTACGGTTGCTTGTGAGGGTGTGTGCATCTGGGAGCACACACACGCACACACACGTCCCCGTACACACAGACACACATGAAATGAATGTTTCAGAAGACAGTTCTTACCATGATTGTGTGCACTGCTTGCTGACATATTCTACTGTAATTAATTTAAAGACAATTCTAAATATAATCCACAAATGATTTCATGATCCACTAATGGGTTGTGACTTGGAGTTTGAAAAACACTCTGGTGGCTAATAACTGACTGCTTATTTATTGTCCCTCCTAGGGGGTAACTAACACGACATGTGCAAAGCAGGGGCCCCGCGCAGAGCAGAGGCTCTTGCTCGCTGCTCTGTCCCCAGTGCCCGGGACAGAGTAGGCACTTAACTAATATTTGTTGAATGAGTGAAAAAAATTGTAGCTGTTGTCATAAGGGAAGTAGGGCTCAAAGAGAGGGAGACTGACTTACCAAAGATCACAAAGCCAAAAGCCAGCTAAGTAACGACTCAAGCTAGTGTCCAATCTTTTCATTTGTCTCTGTCCCCCTCCCTCAGACAGAATGAGAATCAGCAGCAGACCAGGTTGGGAGACGCAGCGAGAAGAGAGAGCCCCAGATAGCCTTACCTGAAGCCAGAAAGGTAGAATTCATCCGTTTACAGGTGTGTGCCTCTTATATATACACATCGGCCCCTGGCTGGCACTGTCCTCCAGAACCAGAGCCTGTGGTTCTGTTTCCTGAGCTTGCTTCCACGGGGGTGGAGTGTTTTTCCCTTCTTGCCGCAGTGTTTTCGTTTTCTAGGCTGTGAGGTTGTTTTTCTTTCCCCTAATAGGTGGAGACCCCAAATGATTGACATTGGGGGTCACACTTGTGCCCGCAATTATAAGGCCTCTGTTTTGCACCTTTGGCATCAAGAGATTCCTTAGTTAGAAATTAACTGGGAAAAGAGTGCCAGGCTACTGAGCTTTTTCTTCATCATTAAAAAGGACAAGGTGGACCCAGGGAGCCAGGTAGAGGCCAGAATATGAAGCCAGGTTGTCCTAGGAGACAAGGGGTGTTCATTGTCCCCACTGGGAGATGAACCTGCGGCCAGTTGAGTGCCTTGTCCTGGAGAGGACACCTTTTCCAAGCACACTTCATCCTCACAGCTCAGCCAGCTCCCCTGGGGCGCAGATGTGAGCAGGGAAGGGCTGAGAATGGTTGAAGGTCAGAGCCAGAAGATAACTCAGACATCATCGGACCAGACTCACTCTATGAACAAAAAAAAATCTGAGTTCCCGTGAGGGGAGGTCCTTTGGGAGGTGGATAACTTTGTGATTGAACAGACTGACTTTGGAGTCAGTCTGTCTGAATCCTAATCAACCATTTATTGTGTGCCAGTAGGCTCACTTCTTAACCTTCCTGAGGTCATTTTCATCATCTATAGAATGAGAATACCCATCTCCTGGAGTTGTCATGGTGGCCAAAGGAAATGACGCAAGTAAGGACATGTAGCCACGGTTCTATCCATGGAACTCACTGCCAACGCTGCTTTGCTGCATTGACACGGGGTAGAAAATGACAGGACCTGGCTGAGATCAGCCCTTTGTCTCTCCTGATCCAATCCCATGTCAATGGCAACCCCACGCTGAGAAAAATCAGATGTCTGCGAACTTAGGCTGAGCAGGAAATATGACAATATCCATGGAATTTACCTTTTCAGGACCTTTCTCCTTCCGTTTAGCTTAGTGGTGGGGTGACCATTGGCATTAGTGCGTTGATCTCCCGGGAGAATTTTGTAGGAGCAAAATCACTCGATCAAAGAGGTGGCACAGTTTTAAGAATTTCGATCCCTCTTCCCAACAGCACCCAAGAGAGATCTTTAAAAACTCAGTTTAAGAACTAGAAAGCCCACCACAGTACTCACCAGCCCTGAGCATTAACTTTCATATTTGTTGGAAGTGAGAAATATCTCATGGTCACTTACTTTTGCAATTGTTCGATGAAAAGAGAAGTCATTATTGTTTCATTTCTTTCTTATTTATTCTTTTCTGAACTGGCTGTTTGTAGCCTTTGTCCTTTTTTTTCCCAATAGGAATGTGTCTCCCCCTGCCCCCATCTTTTCTGTAGCTTAAGAAGAAAATAGAAGTTCTTAATATTTCTTTTCTCCACCCTGGATGGTAAATATCATTTCTGGTTGATGCACATGAGGCCCTGTCTTTAAAGAATGAAAGGTGGCTCCTGGAGTTGTCTGGACAGAGACCCTGGGCAGGAAAACGGGAAGTTTAGGTTGAAGGCAGTTCATAAGTCTATTAACCACATTATTCTAGTTTCTGTATTTGATGCTTTTACCTCATGGGACTTTGCTGACTCTGGAGGAACTGCCCCATCGAGGGCTAATTAATTCTTAGAGATCTCAAGGAGTATATCGTATTCCTGAGAGCATGCCTTTCAAATACCAACCAGCTGATCCAGAGCCCATCCCGCGACGCTTTCTCTATCTGGCTTACGCTCAGGGTGGCTATTTCCCTGCCCTTATCACCCCAGGACAAAGGCCAGACAACTAGGGACCACTCCCAAGTCCCAGAATCTGCTGAAATCATTCACACTAGTCAATCTTCAACCTGATTACCCTGCCTCTCCTGTTCCCATGGGCACCACCATAAAGGCTACGTTTTCTACTTATATCCACGTTTCCCCCTTGCTTCTTCTGCCTCCTGACCACCCCAGTACTTCCCTGTGTGCCCCACCCGTGGCGTGGAGCCCTCCCTCCTCCTGGGATCTGTGAGTAGCATAAACTATCTCTTCAATGACAGTCATCTCCTGATCTGTTGGCCTGAGTGATAGTTCAACCTACATTTTAAAACCATAAGCGTCATCAGGGTGGGTAGGACATAGCTCAAGTGGTAGAGAGCATGCTTAGCATATACAAGGTCCTAGGTTCAATCCCCAGTACTTCCTCTAAAAAAAAAAAATAAGTAAGTAAGCCTAATTACCCACCCCTCAAAAACAGACAAACAGAAAAGAATTGAACACAAAGGCTTCTGAACATCCCAAATACATAAGCGTCATCTTCACTCCACGCAACTGGATCGTCCTGTGGCATTTCTCTAACTGGCCATTTCCACACTCTTTCACGGGAGCCACTAAGCCATGCCTCCCACATCTTCTCCATCTGCTTCTCTGGACTCATCTTCCACATCCCTTCTCCTGACATGATGGAGACAACATCCTTCTGTATGTAAAAGACCTCTCCCCCCCCCCCTCTCTCTCTATATATATATATGCTCTGATGACCTCTCCACAGAGGGTCATCACCTGCCCCGCCTTCCTATACTGTTTACCCCAATCTGAGCCCCCACATCCTGAAGCCCCAGTTGCACACGGGTAGCACACCCATTCTCTGGCTTGCAGCTAGGCAGGACTCTTTGTTCCACGTGATTTAGTCTTAGCTGCCCCCATGGACCTCTCCTTCAACCGGCAGCCACATGGTGTTTGAAGCAGGTGAGCCTTGAGTCGTGTCCTGAATACTAACACCTGCCCCTGTTGGGGTGTCTGGTTTGGGTGAGCTCCAGGGCCCCAGGCTGTTCTCTGCTTCGTCTGGATGTGGACAAGCCAGGTTGGTGGTGGAGGCGGGGGGAGCGGGGAGAGCTGGCTCTGGAGGTATGAGAAAGCACAATCAGCCTTTGAATTACAAGATGGGTGAACTGTGGAGAGGCCCAGGTGGTTTGCGCAGACCTTGGTCCCTAAAATATTATGCCCCTCCTTTTCCCAAGAGAAGATCTGTTATTTCCTGGCTGAAATGAATGTGACAAACCAGCAGCGTTAAGTCTGAATGACCTCCCGATATGTCTATATTCTAATCCTCAGAACCTGTGAATGTTACCTTACATGGCAAAAGGGATTTAGCTGGTATGATTCAGTTTAGTACCTGGAGATGAAGAGATTATCTGGGCAGGCCCAATGCAATCACAGTGGTGCTTAAGAGAGAGATATGAAGGTGGGGAGGGAAGCAAAGGTCAGAGTTCCTTGAGGAAAGAACCGTGAGCCAACAGATAGAGGCAGCCATCAATAGCTGGAAAGAGCATGTCAAGCATGTCAAATGAAAAGGATTTCTGATGTCTGGCCTCCAGAGCTGTAAAGGACTGTTAGTGTTGTTCTGAGGCACTGAATTTGTGGTAATTTGTCAGAGCAATAATAAGAAACCAATAACCTAACTTGGGGCTGGAGGCAATACTGCCAGCATCTCTCCCTTTTGGAATGACTGTGAAATCATGTATCTCAGAGATACGGTGCTGCCTGGTATGGAATTCCATCTGCTCCTTGGATATTTATTGAGCATCTGCTAAGTCCACGTAGAGCTCTAGGCATTGGGAATAAATAAATGTGTCCTCTCGTGGGGTTTACACACCGTGGGGAACGCAGGCAATATCCCAGTGCACAGCAAAATCATATGATGCTTTCAAATACTGGTATCCAGGAAGGCCTCTTTGAGGTGGTGACATTTGAGCTGAGTTTTTTTTTCTTTCACTTTTTAAAAATTGAAATATACTCAGTTTACAATGTTGTGTCAATTTCTGGTGTACATACAGTATAATAGTTCAGTCATACATATACATACATAAATTTATTTTCATATTTTCATTACAAGTTACTATAAGATATTGAATATAGTTCCCTGTGCTATACAGTATAAACTTCTTGTTTATCTGTTTTATATATAGTGGTTAGTATCTGCAAATCTCAAACTCCCAATTTATCCCTTCCCACCCCCTTCCCCCCACTGGTAACCATAAGTTTGTTTTCTATGTCTGTGAGTCTGTTTCTGTTTTATAAATAAGTTCATTTGTCTTTTTTTTTTTTTAGATTCCACACATAAAGGATGTCATATAGTATTTTCCTCTCTCTTTCTGGCTTACTTCACTTAGAATGACGATCTCCAAGTCCATCCATGTTGCTGCAAATAGCATTTTCTTCTTTTCTATGGTTGAGCAGTATTCCATTGTATAAACAAACCACAACTTCTTGATCCAGTCCTCTGTCAATGGACATTTAGGTTGTTTCCATATCTTGGCTATTGTATATAGTGCTGCTATGAACATTGGGGTGCATGTATCTTTTCAAATTACAGTTCCCTCTGGATATATGCCCAAGAGGGGGATTGTTGGATCATATGGTAAATCTATTTTTAGTTATCTGAGGAATCTCCATACTGTTTTCCATATGGCTGCACCAAGCTACATTCCCACCAGCAGTGTAGGAGGGGTCCCTTTTCTCCACACCTTCTCCATGAGCTGAGATGTGAAGGGTCAACATCACACAGCTCTGAGGGCATCTGGAGGGTGTGGTATTTTATGTGCATTTAGGCACAAGAAACAGCAGGATGAGACAGCAAGAGCATGAATTGTTCAAGAAGTAGAAAGTGTGGCTAGAGCCTAGAAAATGAGAGGGAGAGACAGAGGGGGAGAAGAGATCTTCCTGGCCAGACATTTACAGGCCCTGGAGGCACAGTAAGCAGACTGGATTTTATCCTAAATTAGCAATAAGGATGTCATTAGAGGGTTAATGCAAAGTAGTACTGTAAGCCCTCATAGCAATGGCCTTTTGTACATCACTTCAGCAGCTTTAGGGAATTTGGATTTTGTATATGTGTGTGGGCTGGGGAGGCACAACGTGGCAGTAGAGAGACCAATTAGGAGACTTCTGTGGCTGAGACTGGTGGTTGGAGATGAAGAGAAGTGGGTGGAGTCATGTGGAAGGAAGTGGGTGGAGTCCAATGGAGGGGAAGTGGGTGGAGTCATGAGGAAGGAAGTGGGTGGAGTCCAATGGAGGGGAAGTGGGCGGAGTCAAGTGGATTGGTGGGATTTTTAGGATAGTAAAAGGAAAGACATGGTTATCCTAGCACATACATGGCTGCTTACGAGAGTGGATCCATTTATTGAGATGTGAAAGACGGGACAGATTTTGGATTGAATCTCTTTCTTATGGTGCCAAAATTAAGCATTAAAAAAATCAATCCACCTTATTTGAAAGTGTTAGCCAAACTCTGGAGACCCCAAGTTGCTGCTGCTGCTGCTGCTGGTGGTGGTGGTGGTGTGTACATAGCAGTTAAATGCAGAGTCTCTGGAATGAGATTGCTTGGGATCATATCTCAAGGGCTTTCTAGCTGTGTGATCTGCCTGGTTGCTTAACCTCTCTTTGCCCCAGTTTCCTCATCTGTGAAATGGGGTTGATGAAACCTAGTTCCCAGTGAGGTTGTGAGAACTAAGTGAATGCCAAGCGTGTTGTTGTAAACACCTTAAATGTTGCTATTATGGCTTCATTTGCAGCCCTTTCTGAATTCCGGGCCAAACAGCTCTTCTAAAGCAGCACCAACCAGGAAAAAGAGGTAATGAATAAAACAAGGCCAAAAAATTCAGGGGTTTTTATTATCCAGCCTCCGCCCACCTATCGCAACGATATATAATTTGATTGGAGTAGATCCACTCAGAAAATGATGCCAGGACCTGGAAAATGGGCACTTTCCCTCCTGGCTCTGGAGAGGCTACAGTTCTTCCTTCAGTCTTGGTTTCTTCTGTCTCGGAGGCCCCTTGGGCTCAGCCGCCTTCTCCTCCTCCTTGGCCATTTCTTTCTGCCCAGCTGGCTCTTCCAGCTCAGTCACATTCTCCAACTCAGGCAACTCATGTTCAGGTAACTCTTTCTTTATAAAAGGTACCTCCTTTTCTTCAGCTAATATATCCTCTTCTGCCGCTTCACTTTGCTCAACAGGCAGTAGCTATTCAAGAAAAAAAGAAAGGGAGGGAAGGAGGAGGATAAAGAAACAAAGAGGCAAAAATTACATGATAGTTGTGATTATAATTGCCAAGCAGACTTTCCCCACTGTCAGTCCATAGGTGTGGCTGCCCCACACTTAGCTCAAGGGTTCAGCGGTGTGTGACCCAGACCTAGCTAAAGAGATTCGTTCCAGGACTTGGACTAGGAGTACCAAGGAGCAGGTGATTTCTTTCTAAGCTGGGAAGGTATTAGTTAAGAGCTGGGGAGTGGTCATTGCCTCTCCCTGTGGAAGTGACTCCTGGGGAATGAATCTAATATAGAGAAAAACAGAGATGGGGAGAAAGAAAATGACTCTGACTTTCAGAATCCACCCACACCTGATAGTTTATCAGTTATCTGGGATAAATTCCCATTGCTGCTTAAGCCAAAGATAGTTTCTGACATTTGCAACTGGAAGGATTCTAACTAATACAAATGACATCTTCGTGCAGATGGCCTCACTGAGACATGAACAGAATTAAGAGACAATGGGGACTGGCCCATCTATTAGGAGAATAATGCCAGAGGGCAGGATCCCATCAAGACATCTGGTTACCCACTCAGGAACAGCGGACCCAGAGCAGCAGCCTGCAGAGCTATGTGAGACCTCAGAGTCTTTGCCCTTCCCAGTATTTCCAAAGTCTGCCATTTCTAGTAGTAAGTGCCCTTGAAATGAAGTTATTCAAACTGGATCCATCCCAGGTCTCTCCAAAGTGCACAAGATTGGGGAACTCTTGGCAACCTCTTTCCTAGTCCATTGAGTTCCTGATGGTTCTGTGTGGGACAGAATCATCCAGGGTATTGCTATTTCACCTTACCTCATCTTCATCCTTAATTCTGACCTTGATTTGACTTTCCAGGAAGTCAGAAAAGCCCTCCATGGTATGGTCTCCCATATACAGTACAGCCTAAGAAGATAATGGAACTGAGTCAGAATGGTGGCCCTTTCCTGCAAAATACTCAGGGATTGCTCCTTAGGTAAACCCTGGGTCAAATTCCTAACAACCTGAACAAGTTCCTTAACTGCTCTGAGCCTCCATTACAATGGCCCTAAGATCAGAATAATAAAACGTCTTCCATCATAGGGCTGTCATGCAGTGGTCCAGAGCAGGAATGATGGAGCCACACTGTTGGGACTCAAACTCTGGCTTCATCACTCAGCAGCGTGGTCTGGCTGACTCAGTGTCCTTGACTGCAATATGAAGGTAATAACAGTCTCTACCTCATGATGTTATTTTAAGAATTCAATGAGTTACTATATGGAAAGTATTTGAAACAGCACCTCACAGTGAGCACTATATGTGTTTACTATTATTATTATTACTGTTACAGAAGAATAAGAATCGTTATCTTACAAAGCACCCGGCACACATTCTTGCTCAGCCATCATTAGTTTCCTTTCCTCTTTCAGTCTTTAAGATTTCTTAACTGCTTACTGTCCTCTGGCTGTCTAAATTTCTTTCCAGATAACCGAGGATCTGTGACAGGCTCACCCTTTCAATTCAGCCTCATTTTCCATGACCCCCTGCATGCATCTTTTTGCACCAGGAGGATGGCATCTCTTTCACAGTTCTGTGGCCATCCTTCTTCCTCCCTCCTTGTTCATATTATACTTCCTGCCTATAATTCACATGCCTTCCTCTAATCTGAATTAAATCCTCATCATTCCTCAAAGTCTCATGTCTGCATGGAGACTTCCAGCCTTATCTGCCCTCCAGAATCTGTCCCATCCAAGTCCAATTGCATTTGGAGATGAGCCCATATCATGACTTCTCCCCAACACTGAGTCATGTTCTTCTTGGGAGCAGGGTCCTTGGCTTATAATTCTTTGATTGACACCCTTCCCCACATGCCAAAGTGCCATGAAGAGTGTGCTCCATGAACACTGGTGATGTCTGATGACTATAAAACCAAAGTGTAAAATATTCGATTGTCTCTATCTTGTATTCTTCCTTCTTTTGATAGCCCCCTACCTCCAATATCCACATGGTGACCTCCCCCACCTTATTCCGTATAGTCTGGGTAGGGCTCAGCTCCAATAGCAGAGGGAATCACGTAACCCGGGCCAAATCCTCTTGGCCACAATGATGGGGTCAGGGAGAATCAACTGACCTAAGTTGGACCCAATTAGTCTGAGTCTTGGGACTTTCATGGAAGCTAATGGATAACTCTCTCTAACTTGAATATGAGAGGATAATAGGGGCTGGGGCTGAGAATGACGTTGATTTGGTAGAAGGCAGAGCTGGAGGCAGGGAGAAATCGAGTCCATGGTAATAATGTCACATTGCCAGTTATATGAGTCCCAAGAGCCCCTCACTTGTTCAGAGTCCGTGGGAAAGAGCCTGAAGAAGGGATACCGGTCCAGGTGAATCGGCTGAATGTCATTTGCTGTGATGTCGATCTTGGCGATGGTGACTGTGGAGTGGTTTTGATACTTTCTCCCCAACTCTTCCAGCACTGGGAACAGCGCCCTGCACTTTTTGGACCAGGGTGCATCTGGAAAAGAAGGGGAGTCATTGAGCTCACACTAATAAAGACTCTGAAAGCCAAGCTTCCCCGTGAACACCGTCTCCGCATTTGCACAGTACACTCCCTCTCTCTTCTAACAGTATGTTAGGTTATTTTACATTTCAGCCATAGTTCCTGATCATCATTAAATCAATTAGAAAAAAAATAATGACCTAGTCCCCTTCCACTCAGACATTAACACTTTTAGCATGTTGGGATATTTCCTTCTATTCTTTTTTTTTTCCTTTCACACAGCCTTCTACTCCAGCTGAAGAAGAAAACCAAGAAAAGAATTTATGCTAGATGATTCCTCATGTTTTTCCAAAAAGTATGTGTGTGTGTGTGTGAGAGAGAAAGAGAGAGACAGAGAGAGAGAGAAAGACAGAGAGAGACGGAGCCCTAGAGTTTTCCAGCAGAGGTTAAGCTCCTAGCTCAAGGTCACCCAGGAAGATAAGCAAAGGAAGTGGGCTTTGGAAATAGGCTGCTTTGACTTGTGACCATAGTGTCGCACTGCCTCTCAATCCAGTGGAGTGGAATACACCCAAGAAGTGAACGAGAGGTTATGACAAGCACAACGACCCCTGGCAAGGGGACACTGGACTTCCCTACAGACGGTTCCTTGAGCTTTAAGTATGGCCCAGGCGTCTGGACCTATGCAGAGAAATCAGGGACCAGCTCCAACAGAGAAGGGAAATAACCTTGCTGTTAAAGTTTCTGGCTCTGGGGGAAGAGTGGCCTCAAAGGCCCCGGACATCACATTTGGATGATCATCCCTCCACTTACAAACCAAGTGCCTCCTCCATGACCCACTGCACCCCGGCAGCTCTCCTGGAGCTTGATGGGCCCTCGGTTGGAGCACGATGGGGCGTAATGGCTGCAGTCCCAGGGGGTCAATCCGACAGCCCTGCTTCCAGGAAAATGAGGCTGCTTTTGCCTTTTACCAGAACCCAGTGGGCATTTTTATGACTCCGGGTGTCAGGTAAGTGCAGAAAGTCACCCCCAGCCTCTCACTTAAAGGCAGCAGATCATGGCTGTTTAACAAAGCAGACTTTTAAAAACCATGCTCTGTGGATGAGAGCCCATTTCAATGAGATTTTTAAAGGCCTGCATGATGTAATCCAACCCTTGTTTGATCCTCCAGGAAGTGATGACATCCGAGCTGGATTTGAACTTTTTGTCTTGCAACTTACTTACTGTGTGACCTGGGGTAAGGTAATTAACCTCCCTGAGGCCGGATTTCCTGGTCTGTATTATGGGGAAGTCCAGTGGACCTTCCTAAGAGCTTTGTTTTAAGAAGGAAATGAGACCAAGTGCATAAACAGCAAACTATGTGCAATAAATGGTAACTCTGCCCGTCAAAGGAAAGAGATCTCCGAAGTCGCTTCATTGCCACCCTTCTCTGTGTCTCTGGGTGGAAGAGAAGGTCCCTGGCTTTGGCTTTCATATGCAAATCAGAAACAGTTGGGGACAGGCACGTAGTCCCTGGGTGAGCACTGGAAATAGTTATAACAATAGAGAAAATAATAGTAATAATATCTGTCAACTATCAAGGGCCTATAAGATGCCAGACAACTGCTCCACATCCTTTACATGCATGATTTGGCCACACCAACTCAGGCAGCTTACCTACGGGCCATTTGATGAGTTACTTAAAGCCACTGCTGCTGTTCTGCACAGCAGTTACTGGTATAGGCATCAGAGTCAGGCTGCCTAGGTTCCACCCCTTACTTACTTAAGGTCACTTACTAACTACGTGACTTTGGAAGACTTTCTTTACCTCCCTGGGACTCTGTTTAGTCGTCTGTAAGGCGGGAACAATAAAAGTAGCTACTTTTAAAAGTAAGTCGTGAGGATTAAATGAGACAATGTAGAGACAGGTGTGGAAGGTATTCCACACATTTCAAGAATTTGATTTTTGAGGAAAGTCGCTTGATCCAAACCCTTTGGATGTCCAAAGACCATCCCTGGCGTGATGCTTTGATACATTTTGGAGATTTTGGTGCCCAAGAATTCAGGGGCTACACTTGAAAAGTAATGTTGGAGCCACTGCTTCCAGTGGCCTCTGCAGAGATACTTACAGAACATCACAAATACATCCCTTTCCTTGTCAAAGACAACATCATTGAAGTTCTTCCCAACGAGCTGCTTAACTGGCCTCTGGTCCCAATATTTTGGAATTTCTTCACTGGATTGATGTTTCTAGGAAGCAAATTTGAGAGATCTCCAGAAAGGGGTTGGTAGATGGGGGTACCTCCTCCCCCCAACCTTGTCCCTCAACTGGAAATGATGGAAAATGTTCTCTTGTTCTTACAACAGCAGCCTTGGGAAGAAGTTTGAAATGCTGAAACAGATCATGAGCTAGATGTGAAGCCTGGGTTGTCCAGGGCAACCTGGAATCAGAGGGCTGAGGAGGAGACAGGGCTCCAAACTGGGGTGGGTTCTAGCATAAATATACGATTCTTAGGATTCTTAGATGAGGGTGGGGTTCAAGTCACATCACTAACATCTTAACTAGTTTGTCCCCCTCCACCCCACAGGGCAGCCAAGAATCAAATTAAGATCATTTATGTGACGTATAAAGTATTTATCACACCCTGGTTCCAGCCAGCTTCTCCAAGCCCATCACCATTCTTCCCTGGTTTTCTTCAGCCACACTGGTCTTTTGTTCACTCAAAGGGCAAGTCTCCCTCCCACGTCATCAGTGCTGCACTTCCTTCTCTAGTTAACTCGGATCCATCTTTCAGAATAATCTCAAAGGAGGACTTCCCTGACACTCCCACAGGCTAGGTCAGGCCCTGCTTTCATAAATTTTTACAATACTTGGCACTTTTCCTGCATCGCTTATGTAAGTTTACCATTTATATTTATTTTTTTCTGGTTATGTGGTTACTGTGTCCTTGTCTCAATGGATGGAATGTCCCAAGGGACTTTTCTTCTCTTACCTTTTGAGACCGCTGAGTACTATTGAGTGTTGGTACATTATGAGGCCTCGGTAAATATTTTATGAATGAACTAATGAATGAAAGAGTGAACCCAACTCTTGCTTCTCTTTGAAGAAAGTGGTGGAAGTCTCCCAACATATACTTTTCTCTGCGACCCCGGCTTTCTGAGTATCTCTTGAATTCACACCCTTCTCTCCATCAGCACTGCTATTACCCTTGTCCAAGTAGACGTCCTCTCTCATCCAGATCACTGTCATAGCCTCTTAGTGTCCTCTCTGCTTCTCCCCCTAATCCTCTCCACAGCTTTATTCTCCTACAAGCAGGTTCTAATTTCACCATGTAAATCTGGCTTCCCATCGCTCTTAGGATACCAAATCCCTACTATGCTTATAAGTCCTTGCTGTCTGGCCTTTGCCCAGCTCACCAGCCTTGTCTGCCACAAGAGCATCCCTTAACCCCACCCTGAACGCTGGAAAGGACTTGACGATTCTTTAGGAGGGATCATAAAAAGTGTGGGGCTTGGGTGTGGGGGATGGGAAATGGTGAAAATGATGGAGGTCTGAGGTAGGGAGATGAGGGTATTTCCTCACAAGAACCGTGACACTGACCCTTTATACTGCCTCCCCGTTAGCAGATGACCAAAGCCAGCAGGATTACAAACAAAGGTGATCATGTTGAGGTCCTTACCCAAGAACAAGCTTACCTTGGCTTTTCTATTCAGGAAGCTTTGACCGAATTTCTTGAGGTTTTTATAGGTTATCTCCTCGAAAGGCATTTTGTACCTTGCACCAGAGCTTAAGTTGAGGATCTGGACGGATGGAATATCGAACTCCGTGATTCGAAAATATTCAAAGACACGTCTGTTTTTGGGTTCATCTGCGTCCACGAGGATGGAAAGGATCTGCCAAATCAAATGAAACCTGTGTCTCTCTGGATTGGAGGCATGAAAAGGGTAAGGAATCCCTTCCCAAAGGAGAGAAACTTTAGGGAAGATGTGGGAGGGCACCAACGGAGTGCAAATAGCAGCGTCTACGGGGCACCTCTGAAAACCGGAACAGAGGCTCCTTTTTATCAGGTGGATGCAGCCGTGCACCCCAGTGCACAGATGGGCAGTGGCCATCAGCCTGGCTTCACCATCCCTGTGCAGGGCGCCATTCACACAACTGTAAGAAGTCATGAGGTGCTGAGCTTTCATCCCAGTTCCTTGGGCAAAACAGGAACTTCCCCGCTCTGTGCCTCAATTTCCTCCCCTGTAAAGTGGTGATTATAATAGTACCCACATTATAGGGTTCCTGGGAGACTTGAACAAGACACTGTATATAAAGGCTTCGTTCCGTGACAGGGAGGTAGAAAATGCTCACCCGTGTCGACTCATTCTTACCAGAATTACTATTCTTCCATCAGGGAAACACACGACTTCATTCACTCATGCATTCAATACATATTTATGGAGTGGCTCCTAGGCATTTTGCTAAGCACTGGAGATACAAACACTGCCCAAGGTGGACAAAATCTATGCCCTCATTGAGCTCACATTCCAGTGGAAAAGGCAGGCAAGAAATGAGTAAGCTAATTAATACATTCAGATAGTGGTGGGCACCAATCAGGGCACCGTGAGAGAGTGCCTGCACAGGAGGGGTGAGATGGGGGCCCGGTAACAGGCAGGAAGGTCGGGAGGAGTATCTGAGGAGGTCACATGTGAGCTGGGCTCCGGGGAACACTGATTCAGGCAGTGAAAACTGTGGCTGCAAAGGCTGGAGAAGGGGCAGTGGGGTGGAAGCACAGAGTGTTCTAGAATAGAGAGGAAAGGCCAATGCAGCACCATGAGGAGGAGGGGCATGGGAGACAGAACTCCAGTAATGAGTTGGGGTTTAACCTGAATGAGACGGGAGGTCACTGACGGACAATAAGTCAGAGTGTGACATGGTGATCATTTTTAGAGGATCACGCTGGTTGTAAAGAAGTCAGAGTAGGAGAAAGAGGCTGGTTAGAGACTCCTGCAGACCCTGGATTCAGATACTCTCAGGTCATTCATCTGCCAAAACATTAAGAGCCCTACTATGTGCCAGGCACTCTTCTAGGTGCTGGGAAGAATGGGAAAAAACAAAGCAGACATATTAAAACCAGCCATGCATACTTTCAACAAACATTTGCTAGAAATGAACAAGATAAGCTATGTGGGTGTGACCTGTGAGAAGAATACTCATCCAACTGTTTATCTTTGGCTCAAAAATAGAACCCAGTCAATAAATGGCATTTGAAAAGCTTGCTAATTGGGGTAAAGGCAATCTGGAACCTCCTGTCATAATACAAGCTGAAATAAATTCCGCTTAGACTAAAGAGCTAAATAAATTTTAAAAAAACTAGAAGAATTATGGTTAAGTATTGACTATTATAACAACAGAAATCGAGGGAAAGCAATCAGATTATAAGCAATTTAATTACATCAAAAATCTTCAAGTTTAAAATTGAATAAAGCAGGAAATGTATTTATAAGAGAAACTTCTGTAATTAGAATAAGCTTCTTGGAGAATACTGAGATGTATTGTAGCATGAACATTAAGGATGTTCATGCCCCAGTAGCTTTATTCTGTGTTTATTTGGGATTTCAAAGTGTTTCATTGTTTTGTTTGAATTTCAGAATAATTTTCTTCAAGAGAAAAAAAAATCTGCCATTGCCTTTCTTCTTATAAAAAATAAAGAGAAAAATGAAGTCAATAGTCCAGGTGGTGGGAACTACAAAAATACAGGTACAGTGCTTAGAAAAAACTGATTTGTTTCTAATGATGATAATGTTAGCGATAGTAATAATCAGTGTTTATGGTACATTTGCTCATTGCTTTACATATAGTATTTCTAGCTCTTACCATGACTCTCCACTTCACACAGGAAGTCACTGAGACTGAGAGGTTAAACTCACCTAAGACAAAATCGCTTGGAAGAGGAAGAGAATTTGAATGCAGTTCTGTTGATGCTGAAGCCTAGAACCTCAGCCACGGGGCTTCAGACTTTTCCTACTCCCTGACCTCAGGCAGGAGTGGTCTCTCCTCTCCCCCTCACCTCCAGGCCAAGGCTGCCAGCACTGTGGTCCCCCACCCCTAGTGGAGCACAGCCCATCAGAAAAAGCAGCCAGACCAACCCTGCTCACTCCCACGGCAGACTCAAAAAGATAAGGGAAGAAGGGGCAAAGGTTTGGTGAGAAAGAGAGACACACTGGGCAGGAAGAAGAGAGGAGGCTAGTTTAAAATTACATAGTGACTAATATACAGCATCAATATACAAACCAGGAGATTAGTATGCAAATGAACACACAAAGCCTTCCTGGATTAATATATAACCAGAAAGGCAGGAAGATGGCGTCAGGGTCTGCAGGTCTTGGAGTCATATCCAAAGAGACCCAAAGAGCAATGGCAACTTCCACAAACCTTGTTTTGGAATTTCTTCGATGCCAACTTATAATGCTGCATTATCATACCAAATGACTTGGAGCTTTTGGAGACGAAGAGCAACATGTGATTCAGGACGTACAATTCATAAATCAGATCCTTATTCTGAAATTAAAAGGAAAATGGGTCATCCCGCGCACATAGCTGCCCCCGCTGCCCTTCTCCCAGGACCCTTCGCTCACTGACCTCACAGCTGTATTCAATAACAAAACCTGTGAGCTGTTGTTTCATGACTTGACCGAGGATATTTCTGTTGGTATTATCATTAATAAGCTCCTGGCGGTTCACGATTTTTCCCTTGGACAAAAGAAGAAAAACATTAGAAGGCAGTAGCATCCATGATGTAGGTACTTACTAAATATAAATGGCACAATTTTTTCCTTGGGCAAAAGGGAAACACCATGAAAACAGGTGTCATAAATAATCTAGATACTTCATACATGTGGACGGCTGGGCAGAGTAGCCTGAGTGTGGGATATGGGGACGTGGCAGCTGTGAAAATCTCCAGTCTCCAAAGACAGGGAGTGTAACTGACAGCCCCAGCTGCCTCGCTCCGAAATCCGTCAATGTATCTGTGCTGATGCTGAGCGCTTTCTCACGCATTGCTCCTGAGCAATGAATTTGCAAGGGATACTAAAGCAAGTCCATTTCTGGGAGATGCAGGACTTCTCTTATAGGTGACTTTAATGAATTTTCTTAGAACTCCACAGCAGTCAAGGACTCTTCCATCCAACCTTCCTTCCTTCCAAAGGGTCAGACCTACATCACGGTCTGATGAATTTCCCCCAGCTCCCTCTCTGTCTTCCTTCAAGAGCATTTCCCCTAATCTTTTGCATGACTAATCCTGCTTGATGACCGCTTCACAGAGGGACCTGGATTAACACAGGGAATGAATGATATAACTCTCTGGAGCCCAGGATCAGAGTCTGTGCGGGAAGGAGAAAGCAGCAACTATCTCCTTATTTCTCTCTACCCCATCTCTTCCTCTTCATCTCCACCAGTCTCACCTTCTGATTCAAACCTATTCCCTGGATTCTTGCAAAAAGTCTCCTAGTTGTCTTCTAATTTCTCCTCCTGCTTCCCTTCAATCCATCCCCCACACTTCAGCCAGAGAGATGTTGTTAAAAATGCACCTCTTGCTTAAATACTTCATAGTCCCTGTTGTCTCTGGATAAAGCCTAAACACTTTTCTGGTCATAACGGTAGCTTAATAGTACTGTTATTTACAGAAAGCTCATGTTGTACCAGCCACAGTTCTAAGTATGCTATGTGTATTAGCTCATTTAATCCTCAGAACATCTCATTGAGCGATATACTGTTACTTCGCCCATTTTACAGTGGAGGAAACTGAGGCACAGAGAAGTGAAGTGACTTGCCCAGGGTTGGTAAGCTAGTCAGAAGTGGAGCCAAGATTCCAACCCAGGCAACTGACTCTAGTGCCCATGCTCTTAACCGTTAACATAGATCAAACCTCTCCTAAATGCATTTCCAAGTTGGCTATTTGGTTTTTGATTTTGTGATGGGGTTTAGTCTGCAGAACGTTAAAATTTTTATGTGGTCCAAATTTATCAGTATTTCTTTTCATACTTTCTGGGGTTTCTGTCATGCTTTATCAAGGGGCTTTCCCCTCCCTCCCAGGTTGGAAAGCAAACTCTCCCAAGGCATCTTCCGGAGAGGTTGGGTTACTTGCCCAACGCCGCACAGGAAGTAGGAGGGGTGATATCCAGATGCTGCTTGCCTTACAGTGAGAAGTCTTCTCACAGAGAAGACTGCGAGCCACTCTGTTTTCACTTAGGCCCGTGGAAGTCATTGAATAATTCTAAGTTGGAGAATAAAATAACCTAATTTGTGTTTTTGAATGGACAGCAGACAGCCCAGAAAAAGATCCAAATACATGTGGAAATTTAGTATATGATAAAGATGATCTTTGAGATCAGTAGGAATGACTAGCATTGAGGGAACTGGGCAGCCATTTGAAAAAAGAAAACTAAAGCTGAATCCATTGTATCACTCCTGCTACCCAATTAAATTCCAGATTGATGGAGGGTGGGGGGAGGATCCTGGACCAGAAGAAAACACAGGGCAGAAGACTGAGCCTTAATTTATAACATTTACTGGTCAAGGAAAGGAGGAGCTTACAGTGGAAAAGGGCTAGAAAGGCCAGAGAAACAGCAGGAGACTACGATTTCCCAGAAACGGACTAGTCCAATGCCACTTAGTTCGCAAGTGGCAGGACCAGAATTTGTACCCAAAGCCCACACATACATGCATAGTTCATTGTTTTGAACTATGCACTAGCAGTAAGACCAAAGTCCTACCTTTTTGAAGACGAGAACACTGTCCAGGGTGACATGGAAACGCCCAATGGCGTTTCTGATCGATATCACACCGAATGTGAGCTCTGGGAAGTCTTTGATCATGTCGTAGAACAGCTCTGCTACTTCTTCCTGTAAATCCTGTTCGGGGAGGGCTGCTTGATAAGGCTTTGGTAGAAAGCAAAGTGCCTGGATCTCTCAAGCAGGGTGAAAATGGTGACTAATTTGTCTCCTCACCTTTCCAAGTTCTGGGGTTTTGCTGGGTCACCTAAATCCACGTTCATGGGTGTTTCACAGCCAGAACACTTCTGTGGCTATGACTAAGGCCAAAATAGGCAAACTCACAGAGATGAGTGGAGAGAATTGATAAACTTGACCTTTTCCAAGTATGAGAGTGAAGGCTGTTCTAACACAAGCATTGAGATTTTTAAGCATCTCGTCCTTAATTGTGTTCAGAAGAGGCAACTGATTTGACCACGTGTAGTACCCGTTGTGAACCTGATATCAAGATATGGTTGTAGTTTTGACCTTCATTCTTTAGCTTGAAAGAACACTGGGGCCAAACACAATGACAAAGTATAGGATGGGAGAGAAAAAGTCATAAACTCTCCCCATATATAAATATAACCCTAAAGTTCTGGCTTGTACTCAAAGGAAAGGAGTCATCAAAATTATAGGAAATGAGCTAAGACGTATCAGAAACTATTCTCCAAAGGCAAAATCAGTTTGCAAATTATTGGTTATTCAGTGATGTTCCAAATGGACCCCCAAAAGATCAGTTACACTGTCAAAATCAACTCAATATGTGTCAATCTCCCCTCTCTCCTCATGACTCTCTACCTTTGCAGTTTGCTTCTATTACCGTTGATCTTCCATCTTTTCTTTCTTTTAATCCTGCACTTCTCCCAGAAAACCAGCTCATCAGAAAAGGAAGAATGGGCATGGAATTATCCCAAATGGAGGACGTTTCCTCATCCCACCCCTCTCCCTGACACAAGACACCTCCTTAGTTGAGAAGCCCCCTCCCACCTCTTGAACCCAGTACCTGGAAGAAGCCAATGATGACCAAGGGCCTGGAATTCACAAACTTTGCTATCTCGTTCGTGTCAGTGAACAAAAATGCTTTCTGGCTAATTTGTCTTCTCAACCAAACGACCAAGGCGGTAGATTCAACCACTCCTGGAGAGAGAGACAGTTAAATGGATCCCACACAAGTTTCCTCTTGAACTGGAGGAAGGCCTGTCCTCCCCAAGGCACTGTGCTGAGCATTTTGGGTGTATTACATCCCCACAACAACCCTACGGGATTCATATTCTCCCCATTTTGCAGATGAGGAAGTTGAGTTTCAGTGTGCCCTTGGCCCTGCTACTAGCAAACCTGGGGATCAAACCTGGGAGGAAGCATGCCTAGCCTTCTTTTTCTCATCCACCCTTCAAAGTGACAGGAAGATGGATTTACTTTTTAAAAACATAAATTTTAAAAAGTGTAAATAAAAAGAGCAGCTTGCTCCATGCCCTTGGGGGAAATTCCATTATTTCCCTGCGTCTCTAGTTCCTTAGCTGAGACACAAATGTCTGCTAAGGCCATAGATCCTGACTTCCATTTCTCAGCTATCTATGGGAAGTGCCAAGCACACAAAAATCTTAGCTTCTAAAATTGGGACACATCTACCATATCTGGGGAGACATGACGGTATCCCAGAACGTACACCAGGCTACACATGGCCTTGTGTTTGCTAGATCTCAATTTCACGTGATGGCAGGTAATGTAAAATATTATTTTCTGTTGAAGCCTGCTATAGAATAAAACGGATCATTTAAAATGAGTTTATGAGCTAAGATTAAGGCAAAGTTTGCTGTAAGTATATTTGGGCTACATACACAGGCCTTTATTCTTTCTCCATTCATTCTTTCACTCATTCATTCATTTGATAATTAAGCGTTGAGTGCCTATTATGTTCATGAGTGCTGTGCTTGGTCCTGGGGATAAAATGGTGAGCAGAAACAAGACATTGCCACTGCTTTGCAGTTCTCATTCTGTTGAGGAGGTCAACTGTCAAATAATTACACAAACAAGTGTATAATCACATTCAAAGTAAATATTCAAAAGTGAATTCTGTGAACTTGTAGCAAAGATATGCAACCTAGCCTGTGAAGTCAAGGAGGGCTTCCTGGAGAAAATCACTTAGCTGAAAACTAAAGAATGCGTAGGAGTTAACAGAAAGCCACTAGAGAAGGAAAGGCTTCCAAGCAGAGGGAACAGCCTGTGCAAAGGCCCTGTGGCAGGACATATTTCTGCCTAGGGCTTGAGGGATGCACACTGAGTTGCTGAATCAACTGGAAAGGACTCTTATTTTCAGTGTCTTTGCTTACCTTCCCTCACAACATTAGGCCTTTTTTAAATTGATAATGAAGTATTTTTACATTCAGAAAGGTATACGAATGACAATGTATAGTTTGATGAATTTTCCCAAAATGAACACACATGTGTAAATACCACCCAGATAAAGAAACAGAACATTAACTGCCCCTCAGAAGCCCCCACTGTGCCCCCTCACAGCCCTGACCCCAGCCCCACCTGGAGGTAACCACTGTCCTAACTCCTAACAGCAAGCATTAGTCTGCCTGCTCTTGAACTTCATGTAAATAGAACCATAGAGTGTGTTTCTCCCTCCATATTGTACTTGTAGCATTCCATTGTGTAAATATTCCGCGTTTATTTATCCTCTCCCTGTTAATGATCGTTTGGTTTGTTTACAGTTTGGGGCTATTAAGAATGAATTCTTACGCGTGTCTCTGTGGCACATTGTACACACTTCTGTTGGGTACATGCCCAGGAGGAGAATTCCTGGTTGTGGGGGTGTTGAGTCCAACATTAGGAGATGCAGATTAGGCCATTTGAAAAACCACAGTGGGTCAAGCCTCTGAAAGTTTGTAGGAGGACAGTGTGGTGGTCTCCAGGGACAGAGAGGGGTGAGGGAGGCTTTCCATGGCTTTCCACCCACGGCAGTCCCCCCTCTCCTGGATTTCAGCCTCAAGATTCAGTTTCTATTTTCCCAGTGGTCTGGGCCATCTTTTAGGAAGAAAGAGGCACATATCATGAAAAACTCTCTTATAGGCTTTGCCTGAAAAAAACTATGTTTCAAGTGACATGAAAGGAATTGCTTTAGAAATTCTGAAAATACCAAAAAAGGTGACTAAAAACCCTCCAAATGGGTTTGAATTTCAGGTCATCAGAACCAGTGCTCTGATCACCCTTTGTGTCACCTGCCCTTCAGCTCTGTCCACACTCCAACCATGACCTTATCCTCCCGCACACGGGACTTGGCACCTGCCAGGCCCTCCGCCTGGGCAGCCGTTTCCTCTCAGCTCTCAAGGGCATCTCCTCCCGCTTACTGAATCCTCAGTTTGATCTTTTCTTACTCTCCCCTCAATCATTCTCTATCTCATGACCTGTTTTATTTTCTTCACTGAGTCTGTTTCTGAAGTTATGATTTTTTTTTTTTTGCCAACTTCCTTAGGAGCTCCTGAAGGGGCAGCAGAATATGCCACCTGCAATTATATGGCTTTGGCAGATTGATTATTTTGAACTAAAGTTACTCTAGAAACAGCCTGTGTAAGAAGGTTACCCCAGCCCTCTTCTGTCCGTCTGAAAGCGGGAGCGAAATGTCTCATGGGGAGGTGGCCGCCCTGCACCAGGAGGGCAGAGGGCATTCTTATCACCAGAGACAGGGGTTCAAGGCTGCGAAGGCTCCATCCATAAACCTCGTTACTTCCTCATTAATTTACTCATCAGTTCTTCACAGATTTCTTGTTTCTTTACCTGAAAAGTATGAAAGCTGCCTGCTCTGGTCACTTTTTTGCGCCTTGTGTCTTTGGGACTCTTGGACATAGGAAATGAAATTTGCTTTTCTTCTGTTAACCTCTCTATGTCAATTTAATTATAGTGAAGAAAGGAAATGTTTTCCTCTTCTACACCCCTGGAATGCCTGGCTCATAACAGGTGCTCAGGAAGTAATTATGGGCTGAATGAAGGAGGTGACTGAATCGTTAGATAAGCCGCTTTGATGCAACTTGACCTTGGGCCCTCTTCTCTGGGATGGATGAGTTCTGTTTGCCCCTCTGGACTCCGAGGGACTGAGGTAGCTCTGAACTTGGCAAACATTTTGCTTCTGACTGCCTGCCAATTGGGCGCTGTCCCCATGGGGCAGGAACCGCTCCTGGTGCTTGGCTCTGAACCAGAGGACACGGTGACAACGGAGGTGTGAACGCCAGGTCAATGATTGACTGGGGCTGTCGCTCTACTGCATATTTGCAGGCACCAAGCTGTCAATGCATCATTAATTGAGGCCCTGGAGGCAGCCCGAGTGCCCCTCCTTCCTGGGAGATGGTCAAGGCCAAGTCTCCCACCATCAATCCTTGGAGACTAGAGGAGAACCAGGACGGGGGCTTTGACCCAGCAAGGACTAAATCGCACCTGCTGAGGAGGAACATTTTCATAAAAGTCACAGGGCCAGTAAAGTGTTGTCCCCTTAGCTCAGTGAAGCCCATTAAGTGGCAGAGCTGGCACGATTCATCCGTTTTAGGCAGTGAGAAATGGAGGCTGCCTTAAGTCCTCACAGTTAGTGCTGGTCCTAAAATCCAGGCACTGGCTCCAACCCAGCATCTCACTGCCTCTTTCCACAGTGGAGGGACATACTGAGGCAGAAGGGGGCTGGTCAAGCGCAGTAGAAATATGGACTGGCTCCTTACTCATCCCAAGCCTGCCACAGCAGGAGCCCTCGCAATTCCCTCCCATTCAAACTCAAACCTATGCGTGGAAAACCTAAGTGTTCCAGGCACTGGAGTAGGGTCAGGAGACTGATAGCCTGAGAAGAGTAAAAACCACATCTGTCATTTATACAGAGGACAGTGCAATACACAACAGGGGTCAGTCAGCTATAGCCCGTGGGCCGAATCTAACCTGCCAACTGATTTTATAAATAAAGTTTTATTGGGACACAGCTGTGCCTCTTTGTGTACATGACTCCTTTCCCACAGCAACAGTAGAGTCCAGTAGTTTCAACAGAGACTGTTTGGCCAGTAAGGCCTGGTCTTTTAGAGAAAAAGTTTGCGGATCCCAGTGCTAATTAGCTGGGGAGCCTTGAGGGTTATTCCACTCTCAGGTTCCCCACTTGTAAGAGCACATCCCACGTTGTGCTGTTGTGACATCTACAAAGGGACCAGAATGGTGCCTGGAACAGAGTGAATGCTTCAGACGCGCGTCAGGGCTTGTGCACTGCAGACTTACTCCTTCCCAGGAACCCTAGGAGGTAGGTACTTTCACCATCCTCGTTTCACAGATGAGGAAGTCAGAATTCGACAGGAAGAAGTATTGTTCCTCAGGTCTGTAGTGATGATTTGAAGCCAGGGGGGTGTCCGCCAGCTCTGGCAGCCTCTTCAGAGGCCCCAGGAAAGAAGGTGCGATCGGCCTCTGCCCTTGTGTTCTCAGCTGAGTAGACGAAGGGGAGCAGATACAATTCTGTGAGGTGAGATCTTTGAGGGGGAAGAACAGATCCTGTGAGGTCGCAGAAGCAGGGCAGGCACTCCGACCCAGGCAGTCAGGGGAGACTTCCTGGAGGAGGTGATGGTGAAGCTTCCTGAATGGCAGAGGAGGTTCCAGGCACTGGTTCACAGCACAAAAGGGGGCACAGCCAGTCTGGAAGTCACCACACTGTCACCTTGTTGCCTCTAAGTGGAGTTAGACCTCACAAGTCCTTCAGGAGGCCGGGGCATCTCAGAGCCTCAGCCACTCAGGAGCAGATATGAACTTCGACAAAGTGACTTAGAGCTTCTTGTTTCTTCACAGCCCTCTCCCAAACCAACCCATCACAAAGGGCTCCTCCCTTGGCGTCAGTGTGTGGCATTGAGGGTTGTCACTTGGTACTTACGAAGCAGCAGACTTTGTCCCTTTTCTCACTGCTCCTGCCCTCTCTTCCTGTCTCTTTTCCTTCTGCACACACTATCCTGTTACAAACCAGCTGGGAGCCACCGCATTGCTGAGTCTTTTACGTAACCTTCTCTGAGGCTGGCTGTATCCTCAGCACCGTCCTCCGTTAAATCTGGCCTGTGAGCCTCATGCCCTCTTGTGTCCATTCTGAGAACTGCAAGGCAACCTGCAGCCCCTGCACCTGGTGGCCCTTTCCTCTCCCTGCCCCTTTAGTTCTCGCAGCAACACTCAAGCAGGTTTATCGCAAACCTGCTAAATACCAGGTGCTGCAAAAGACAGTCTTAGTTTTCTGAGACTCAATCATTTAACACACACGATGGGAACATTCTACTCACATAGTAGAGGTTGTGCTGGGCACGTCTGTTTTTTAGTTTTATTCCATCCATCCATTGTATATGAGATTATGCATCAATATATTTAACATTTTTAAAAATCAGAGCCTACCATGTGCCACATGGAGGCACAAAGTTCTTTAAGCTTCTTTCAACATCAAGATAGGGCTTGATACGCGGTAGAGGCTTAATAAAAGGGTGTGGAATAAGTGGGCAAATGAGTTAATGAGCTAAATGGACGATGACAGAAGCTGAAGGGTTTGGCAGTTGCCCTGTCCCAAGCCCGTCTTGTTCTAGCATCTCCCTGTCTCCTTTTTGGTCAATCAGTGCTTCCTTGGCCTGGGAACCTGTCAAAATCATTCTAAAGTGGAAGATTGCATGGGAGTGGGGAGTTAGGTGAGTTGGGAACTCACTCTCTGGTCTCCGATAGTTTATAAACCATGCACCTCCCTATCCCACCTCCTGGTGCATCCCGGGCCCCCCAGCAGAGACGCAAGCTGTAGTGGAAGCAGATACACGTCCACCAAAATCTTTTTTTTCCCTTATGGACATAAAGCAGGGCCATATTTCTCACCCTTTCAGTTGGGTGGAAGCATGTAACAGAATTCTGGTCAAAAGGGTGAACATAGAAGTGATATTTGTCACCTCCAGGCTTGGGCCACGGACACCACCAGCAGCAATCCTCTGCCTCCCAGGACCTGCTGCTGGCCAGATGCAGAGGAGACAGCAGATGGCTTGCAGTCCTAGGGGAGGACTGAGCCGCAGGCTGGAAGGAACCTGGGTCTTTGAAAGACTATGTGGAGCAGAGCCCCCACCTCCACCCCCTGGCTGCTAACTGGGCTTCGTGCAAGCCAGAAATAGACTTGTTAAGCCAGCGTTTACGTGTCTCTGTAGCTAGCAGCACCTTAGGTGACACACAAGCACTGTTACCTTTGCAGCTGATGGGCTCTGATCTGTTGCCCTCGAAAAACAGCTTCAGCTCCGGGGCCTTCTCGACGCCAAACTCCTCCTGAAGTTCCTTCTCAACCGTGATGTCCACTTTGCCAAAGCCAAGCCCGTTCTTGCCTTTCCCCATGATCTCCACGGCTTTGCCCAGCTCCTCCGCCATGCTCCTGGATTGCTGGGAGGACGGGCTGTCTGAAAGAGCCAGCATGCAAACAGAACTTGAGGGTCTCTCCTCTCCGGCCCCATCTCCCGAGGAGGAGGCTTTGCGTGGCCTGCTCAGCTCCTGGGCCTTCCTCGCGCTCCACTGCTAGTAGGTAGACTCAGAAATGCGACAGGTTGGGAGACACACGGTTCCTCCAATTGGCCATCATGGGAGACACGCATCAGGGTTCTTTGGGTTGGGCAACACTGGAAACAATATAACTTTGGGCAACTTAATCACTCGAAACCCCACTTCCCTCCATAAAGTAGTGGCTACCTTGGGACGCTGTCAGAGTCAAAAGATTTATTTAACAATCCATCATGTAGTGCTTATTACTTTCTAAGAGCTTTACATGGATTAAGCCACTTGATCCTCCCAGTGCCCCTATGGGGTAGGTGCTGCCAACGTTGTCTCACTTTTATGAATGAGGAAACCAGTGCACAATTAAAATGACTTGCTCGCCCAAGGCCACGCGGCAGTGGGAGGTCGAGCAGGATCAGACCCACGCCATCTGGCTGCAGAGTGCCTGCTCTCCAACCTCCACGGGCACGTCCGACCCTTAGCACAATGCCTGGCACGTGGTACATACACAATGCATTCTTATTACTACTGTTATTATTGCAAACTTTCTTCGGTCAGAAATTATTGTGGAGGTGGGGGGAGGAGAGAGAGAGAGAGAGAGAGAGAGAAAAGAGAGTGTGAGCGCCATCTAGTGGAAAGTCTTGGCGCTAACAGGCCAAGTTGGGTGCCTTCAGTTGTCCAGGGTCTGCTCATGGGCAGGGGATGGTCATGGAAAGAAGGCCAGGTGTGGAAAGGGTAAGGATAGAAGGTCATGATGCTCCCCTACTCACTCAGCCCATCCTCCTGGGAAGGAGTGTTAAAGAGACCTGACACCATTGATTAAGATTCCTGGGCCCCTCTCGTTGCTGGGTAGTGGGGACCCCTTTTTGGGAGAGTCTCAGGGGGTTGGTACTTGACCCCGGTAGCAGAAGAGGCCTTCCTGGCCTAAATGGGAGGGGCTAAAAGGTGGCCGTGTTTGCCTTTCCTCCTCCTGTGTGTGGCTTGCAACCCTCCCGTCTCGGCCCCTCACTGCCCAGTGTCTGCAGCAGGAGGGCTGAGCCAGGGCAGGGGAAGGGGGTCACTGATGCCCTTTCGAGCCAGAACACCTTATCTTTTTCAAACTTTCTTCTCCATCTGGAGCACTTGGAAAAAGTGCAAATCACTTCCACTGCCACGGGCAGTTCCAAGTTCAACAGAGAAGTCTTTTGTAAAGCAAAACCCAGAAAGCCAGGCCTATAACGGCTGCCCCACACCCCAGTCATTGCCAGTCAGCACACCTGCTCCGGTGATGGAACCCGAAGGTGAGTGATTGTTTTCATTAAACTCCCAGTCAATGGATGGGAAGTGGGACTTTTCGCCTTCCTTTTAGGCCAATGTCTCTCCACTACCTGCTTGGTCACCATCATTGCCTTCGATATCCTTCATCCATCACCACCAGCAGGCACTGGCCTGTCGCCAGCGCCTCTGGCCCGTGGGCCTCTCCCCTGGCTCCCTTGCGGATTCGGCCATGGCTGGCTGGTTGGGGGTTGCTGATTGACATAGTGTCCAAATCTGAGTTTCTAAGGGTAGGAGCTTGGGGCGAGAAAAACACTTGGAATGATTGTCCAAGCAGTGGAGTTTTTGAGGTTCCACGTGAACACTGCCCAGTGCTCTTCAATGTCCAAAATGGGAGCGAGAGAAAGAAGTTCTGCGAGCTGGATGGATGGGACCTACCGGTAATAGTAATGGGATTCATTCATCTGACAACTTTGTTTTAGCATCTTCCATGTGCCAGGCACTGTTTTAGGTACTGGGGATTTAACAATGAACAGATTGATAAAAATCACTGCTCTCACTAGAGAAGGCAGAAAATAAATACAGAAGCAGACTATAGTCTACGTTAGATGTTAAGTGCTATGGAGAAAAAAGAAGCAGGGGTGGAGGTGGGGAGTGTCCGGGGAATTGAATTTAAGCAGGGAGTCAAAAGGAAGCCTCACTGAGAAGGAACATTTCAATAAAGACTCAGGAGATGAGGGAGCAAGCTATGTGGATACCAGGAGGGAGAGAGTTCCAAGCAGAGGAGCCATAAGTGCAAAGGTCCTGAGGTGGGAGCGCACACAGCATGTTTGAGGAATGACTGGAAACCCACTGGGTCTGAAGCAGAGTGAGCCGGGGTGGGTGCAGGTGACAGAGGCTTTGAAGGCGACTGAGTAGACTTTGACCTTTCCTCTGAGAGTTGTGGAAACATAGTGGATTGTTCTGAATGTTACATGGAGATTAGACCAAAGAGAAAAAAAAAAGGAGACCAGCTGGAGGCCACTGTAATAATCCAGGTGAGAGGTAGTAACAGCTTGAACCAGGGGAGGGGCAATGGAGGGGTTGAGAAGTGGTCAGAGCCTCGAGGGATTTTGAAGGAGGAGTTGACTGGATTTATTGAGGGACTGGAGGTGAAGTGTAAATGAAGGGAATCAAGGACAACTCTGAGATTTCGACCTGAGCAACCAGAAGACAGAGAAGGATGATGATGATGATGATGGTGGCGATGCTTTAGGGATAATTACCCATGAGCCTAGAAATAGCTCCTGATAAGTCTCATTCTGGCCTCTCCCCACTGAGCATAGCCTTCATTTTCTGCTGTCTCATTCATGGAGAACACTGTGGGCCAAAGGAGAGCTCATTCACTCATTCAACACCTCTGCACGCCCATCATGCACAATCCCAGATGTTAGCACTCCAGAGGTGAACAAGATTTGGCCCCTGTACCCCGTGGAGCTCACAAGTTTAAAGGCAGTTTCAATAGAGTGTGGCAAACGCTGTGAAAAGGAGGGCGCAGAGCGCACAGAGGGTCTTTGCGGCTTTTCAGTCAGGGAGTGGCCCAATGAGATTCGCATTCCTAGTCAGTCTAGGTGGAAGTGAGGTGGACGCAGCCTCTTGACAAGGCAACTCCATGAACATATGCTTCGCAATCCAGGTGAAGACATTACCCAGTGAGACCCGATGAGATTTGCACTTTAGAAAAAAAGATATTCTCTGAGTACGTTGTCGAGACAGCACTAGAGGGGGAGGGGAGACCATCTAGAAGATGCTGCGGTGGGTCAGGGGTAGAATGGTGAAGCCAGAACTAAGGCAGTAGCAGGGGATGGGAGGACTGGAGACTGCAGAGGGCTTTAGGAGGTGGTATCAACAGGACTTGGTGATGGATTAAGGTGAGAACAGAAAGTGGTCGCCGGAGTCTTGGTGTGGATAAGGGATGCTCAGCCAAGTGCATGCCCTGCTCGCAAGCTAGTAGAAAGGAAATGGCTCAGACTGGATCTCTCCTAAGTCTTGCTCCATGGGCTTGAAGTAAAATTAAGCGTGCATCCTGACACTTTGAAGGAAGCCAGGAACAGCCTGAGCTGGACAGAGGTCAGGGGCTTGGAGCTATTTTGATGGAATTTTGCACAATAGACCTGCTTCACACTGGATGTAGGAAAAATGACCCAACCAGATTTTCCCTTCTGGGAACAATCAAAGTTAAGGGCACAAAAAGAATGACTTTGTTCTAGGTCACTATGAGTGAAGTGGCTGCACAAGCCAGCTGAGGAAGCAGCGGGACCCAGAGCAACTAAGCTGCTGGCACTGTCACTCACCCAGCTCCCCCAGTGAAGTCGCCTTGCTCAGAGAGAACGTGTCAAATGAGAAGTGACAAGAATTGAGGAAGGAACTGAATTTCAGGCAGGGGACACAAAGCCAAACGCTGTGGGGGTGAGGCAAGGGTGTGACTGCATGAGGTTGGCTGGATAGGGGTGTGGGGTAAACTGATGAGTGTGTTTTCTGTTTAAAAGTGGAGATCTTACCTCAGCTCCAGCCAACTGTCACGTTGCCGGGATGTGAGCTTTTTGGTTTTCCAAGAGCGTACGTAAACTCAATGTTAATTGTGAAATGTCCCCAAATAGGAAGACGAATAGAGCCACCACGCTGGGTTGTGGTTAGGGTTCTATCACTTACCATTTAGTGGGGCTGCAAGGACAGTGCCCAGCACACGGTAAGTGCTCGCTGTGTGAAGGATGCTGTGGGAATCCCTCCCACCCTGTCCCAAGGCACAGGTCTCTGCCAGTGGAGAAAGAAGCCTGCCCTCTCCATCACAGTGCCTGCTGATGCAAAGTCTAAAGAGTGAAAGTGGACATGCCAAGTTCAGATGATCTAAAAATCTTTTCTCGAGAGTGTGCCCTTTACTGTGTTCCAGCAACTTTTATTTTCATTTGTTTTAATTGGTGGGGGGGTGGTAATTAGCTTTATTTATTTTAACAGAGATACTGAGGATTGAACCCAGGGCCTTGTGCATGTTAAGCACACACTCTACCACTGAGCTATACCCTCCCCCCAGTTCCAGCAACTTAACTTACTATCTTATTTATTCTTCATATAATCTAGTGTAGTCCTTATGTTTCTGCCCATTTTACAGAGGAGAAAACTGAGGTTCAGAATGACAGAGACACCTGAGGGTATATCCTGGCTTCTTGCCTTCAGCGGGACAGAGGAACCAGATACAAATTAAGATCAAAGTGGCAACACAGTATTTTGCAAATTGGTTAATTTCCCTGGACCTCAGTATTTTCATCCAGAAATTGAGGATGATGTTATATACATTATTTTTTTAATTGTTAATAAAATGTGTTTTCATGTGTTTATCAATATTTAAAGCTCCCCTGGCTGCCAGGAGAAGGGAGGCAGGTCTCAGTCCACCCGCCACCCACTGCCCAGGAGTGGAGGACACTCACGGAAGAGCACCATCAGGAAGCGGGTCTCATTCAGCATCTGGGTCAGGGCGGCAGGCGTTAGCACCATCAGGTTGTTCTCCACCAGGATGTGCAAGGGCTGGGGCACGTCGATGCTGGCCTCCTCATCGTCCACCTCTAGTGAGCCCTGGACAGTGGTGGCACAAGAGGCCACCAGCAGCAAACACATCCAGAGCAGCCCCATGGCTGCTGTCCTGCAGGGACAGAAGGAGGAACAGAAACTCTTATCAACACAGGTGGTAGGGCCCCCACATCATCACCTCCTCCCATCTCCTTCCCTACCTGGCCAGTCCCAGAATGGAGAAGGTGGCCTGAGCACGTCCCGCTGCCTCCAAGCAGTTCGCACAGCTCTCGGCAAAGCCAGCTGGCAGAGGAAAGGCAAAGCCTTAGGTTAACCTTAGGGCCCATGGAAACCTCACGGGGGTGCCTCAGAGCAGCAGGGTCCCACTCGGAGCAGCAGGAAGCCAAACCGCATGCCAGCCACTCAGCACACTGGCTCTCAAGACACTAGGTGAGAATGTTTCAGAGCTGAAACCCAGTTCAGAATCGTCGGGTGAGCCTCTGGGTCTCAGAGATGACTAGTCCAATCTCCTATCACAGCCTCTGCTTCGTGCTCCTTCAGCTTCTGCTCGAATACCTCTTTTGACAGGAAGCTCACTACTTGACAGTGTACCCTCCCATTTGATTTTTGAGCAAATTTTCTAATGTGTAAATATTTTTTTAAAGTAATCACCATAATGCACACTTGTAAAAATTCCAAAAAGTACTATAAAATATGTTAAGCAGAAAATTTAAAATCTCTCCCATAATCCCACCCCTGAGAAAATTGCTCATAACAGTGTAGAATGAATCCTTAATGGATGTTGAAAATGCCGACATGAGTGTACATTTGAATGTACATCTTTAAACATAAGTAGAATCAAATATGCATATTGTTCATTCTTCTGATTTTCGTATTCAATGATATCAAACATATTCCAGACACCGTCTGATAAGGGTGCCTGTTAAGTCTGTAACATGAGTTCCTTTCCTCTTTTTCCCCCCCTCCTTCTTTTATTTTTTATTTTTATTCATTTCTCTTTTTTTTTTTTTTTTTTTACAATTCTTAACTGTTAGATGGTCTGGGTCAGCAGTTGTCTCTCTGTAAATTCCACTCTCCCTAATAACATATGTTTTCCCTAACAATTTAGAGCATAGGATCACTGTGTCAGATCTTCCTCCTCAAGCCTAGAGGCATTTCCCTGTGCAGCATACAGGCTATCCAAGTGTTTTAAAGAAGACCTATAGCAGGTGCCAGTTCAACTTACAAGAACCTTAACGTTTTTGTTGACTGCTATATTCTTAGCACCTGGCATCTGGACAAAGAACACGGCTGAATGAATGAATGGATGCTTGATCTTTACTTGGGAAATATAGTTGGCAAACTAGCTGAGGATTTTAAAAAAAAATAGATTTGCCAATGTAATTTTTTTGGTCTGCTATATAAAGAATTGTGACCAATTCTCAGTACTAAATTTTATAAATACAGCTAAAGATACTTGTCTTGTACCAGGCACTTTTCTAGTGCATTTCATGTTATCATCTCCCTTATGACAAATCTATGAGGTAGGTATAGTAATACGACAATCCCCATTTAGTGAGTATGGAATGAGGTACATACTTCAATAAATTTAAAAAATAGAGGTACAGAGAGGTTAAGGGATTTGCCCAAGGCCACATAGCAAATAGGTGACGGTCATTTTAACCCAGGCAGTCTAGCTACAGAATTCATGCCCTTAACCACAGTGATGGGTGCACTGCCTCTCCAGTGGTCCACTGCAAAACTGGTACAGTGAACAGTGTTTTGAGACAGTAACTGATCCCCCAAACGTCCCAGCCCTGGTATTCACCATTCAATCATGTCCTGTCTCAGGGTGGGGTGACTGAGATTGGCACCTGAGAATAGAATCGGGTTTTCGGTTTGGGGCTGCAAAACAGGCCTTTGAAACTCAGCAGAGACAATACACTTGTCAGGACTCTGCCTGCAAGAACCAGGCTTTTTAGAAAGAAAAAGGCTTTTGATGACTCAATGGTTTATGCTATAAACTCTAGGTTTGGAAGAACACGTCTACAGAAGGAACAATTACCTACCCCAAAGGAGATAAAAGACAGAGGGGAATGGGGAGGAGTGGAGAGAGCTTTGATGATTCTGGGGTCCAGAGAGAGGGGTCCTACACTCTGTCCCTTCTCTGCGCTGAAACCCCAGCCCCGTCTCCTTTTGCTCACCACTGCAGACCCGGTCCCCAGTCCCAAGACTGCCCACAGTAAAAGAGAAATCACGATGTATTAAGCTAGTATTTGAGCTTTACACTCATCATCTCCTTAATCCTCCCAGCACGTCTGTGAGGCGGGTACAATTATGATGCCCTTACAAAGGCGGAGACCCATCCAAGAAGAAGGAACTAGACTTGAGCTCAGCTATATCTAAGCCCTAATGCCCATGGTGTAAACTAGGGGTTGCAAACTGCGGCGCACTGCTGGTTCTTGTAAACACAGTTATTGGATCACAGCCACACCCACTCCTTCACTACTGTCTGCGGTGGCATTTACCACCACTGCTGAGTTACGTAGTTGCAACAGAGACAGTAGGTAGCCAGCAAAGCCAAAAAAAATTTTTATGTTCTGGCCCTCTACAGGAAAAATGTGCTACCCTCGGGTCTAAATTACCATACCACATTGCTCTCAGGCCCACACCTCAGATCTTGGACTTTGGAAGTGGTCACAGATCCTCAGATTTGCAAAGTCCACTGTCCGAGCACAGCACCTCCATCTGCAGAACAGGGGAGTGGTCCCTGCCTCCCAGGGTATTGTGAGGATTCATAGAGATCTTGTGTTTGATTAGCACTTTAAGAAAAAAATTGTTTTGTCCAACTAATTCATTTAATTCTCACACAGACTCTACTGTCTGTTCCAGGCGTTCTCAACCATGGCCGCACAGTACAATTTCCTGGAGGGCTTAAAAAGAATACTGATGCTTGAACCCAAACCCATTGGGCTGGGGTGGGGTGAGTCTAACGCATCTTTTTTCTTTTCTTTTCTTTTCTTTTCTTTTCTTTTCTTTTCTTTTCTTTTCTTTTCTTTTCTTTTCTTTTCTTTTCTTTGCCCCCTGGGTGATCCTAATGTGTAGCCATTTATGCTGAAATTCAGACTGAAATTTGTAACCACCTCTGCAGAGGGAAAGGTGCCAGGACAGGGCCCTTCATTCAGAATTGGCATTTTCACTCCAGCTCATACCTGCAGGAAGCCTGGTTTCTCTCAGGCCCACTGGGGCCAAGCCGGGGCCGGCGCAGCAAACTCTGTGGCCCTTAAGAAGGGAAGTCGTGGCCTGATGAGCAGGCTTCTTCCTGGCTTCCCTTTGTGACCAGAGTAAGAGCCGAAGGCAGCTGGGGGTTCTAAAGAAATCCAGAGGCAGAAATGGAGTCCCTTCCTGGACACGCTGAGGCCAACCGCAGCCTCAACCGCAGTGTTCTAAGTTCTGGGGTTCTGGAGGACCAGGGGTGGCCCTGGAGAAGAATAGGCCATTATTGAGTAAGAGGAGGGCCCTGCCCTGCTCTGCTGAGTTGGGGGCAGGAGAGCTGGAGGTCACAAGGATGGCCAGAAGCAAAACACACCTTGGAGGTATGGATGTGGCATTGAAGATGCCTATAGATTGGGATTTGAACCCCAGCTCTGTGGGTATGAGCAGCTGTGTGGATGGGTGCGGGTCACTTACACTCTGAGGCTCCATTTCTTCATCAGTAAAATGGCACATGATGCCTAGGAAGGCTGTGGGTGTTTGAGGAGATGAAGCCTGCGAAGGGGGTACCAGGCATAGTGCCTGGAAGGCAGGAAGCCCTGCCTGGCCTCACCCCCCCAGTGGTACATCGTTTGCCCCACGTACACCTGTATCACATCATCACAGGGTGCGCCCCAAGTACATACAATTTCATTTGTCAGTCATACCTCAGTAAAGCTAGAAAAAATAAAAGTATATTTTAAAAAATATGGAATGTTAGCAAGTGATAAATCCTTAGGAGGAAGATCAAGTAGAGACTGGAGGGTAGCAAGTGCCAGATGGGAGAGGGTTCCATTTTCGGTGAGGGAGTCCGTTGAAGGTTACTTAAGCTGGAGCCAGCCTGCAGGGCACCCCCCCTCCCTGAGAGAGCCTTTTAATTAATATTCAGGAATTTGCAAACCGGTTACTGAAACTTTGGTAGGTCTAAACTGGCCATGGTGGGAATTGAAACTGGCCATGGTGGGAATTTTTAACCACAGATACTGGCAAACACTACAAGTCACTTTGGTGGTTTTTGTTCTCAGAGAACCAGTTTCTCAGCAGCCTCTCCCATCTGGCACTTGCTACCCTCTGGTCTCTACTTGATCTTCCTCCTAAGGATTTATCACTTGCTAACATTCCATATTTTTTTAAAATATATTTTTATTTTTTTCTAGCTTTACTGAGGTATGACTGACAAATGAAGTTGTATGTACTTGGGGTGCACCCTGTGATGATGTGATACAGGTGTACGTGGGGTAAACGATGTACCATTGGGGGGTGAGGCCGGGGCAGGGCTTCCTGCCTTCCAGGCACTATGCCTGGTACTCCCTTCACTGCAGCAGGGACGTCAAAGAGCAAAAGGCAGGGAGACCAGTGTGGCTGCAGCCAAGCGAGCCGGTGAGAGCTGTTCTCAAGACTTGCCTTTGGCTTTGAGCAAGACAAGGAGCCAGAGGAAGCTTTGTGCTTTTTAATAGCTTTATTTAGGAGTGATTTGCATACCAAAAAATTCACTCATTTCAAGTGTACACTTATTTGTGTTATTATTCATTTCTTTTAGTAAGTTTACAGAGCTGTGCAGCCATGACCACACTCCAAATTCAGAACATTTCCAACAAAGAGATCCTTTGTCCCCATTTGCCCCAGTCAACAGCTAATCCACTTCCTTTCCCCGGGTGCTGGACAGTTTAGAGCAGAAAGGGGACATGATTTGACTTACATTAGTGTCACTATTGTCTCTTTTCTGCCAACATACAATAAAGTTCCCATTTTCTTCTTAGATTAGATGGTGACCTGAATTTTCAGGGAAAATATCCCTAGGTCCAGGACACCCCCCGGGCACCGGAGCTGGAGTTCCACCGCCCAGCTGCGAGAAAAGGGTGTGGGGCCACCCTCGCTGGCTCAAAGTGTGCTGACCAGTTGAAGCCACGTGTCCTCTGATGGCTTCAGGCTCTGTGCCCTCTCTTGGCTGTGCTTGGGGCCAAAGTGCCTGTGGGAGGCTGGGTCAGCAGTTTGCTGTTACCAGCGTGCCCAGGAGCCGAGATGTTTACGGGCATTAAGGCCTGCCTTCCGCTGAAGCAGCTCTTAGGCGTCCTTTGCAGTCCCCGCGTTCAAGAACAAGGTACTGGGAAGAGAAACCCTTCAGCAGGAGGTGTCTGCGGCCTCCGAGGCCTTTGCTGATTAAGCCAGGCAGGGAGCAGGGCCCGTGAAATGGCTTTGGGCTCTTGGGAAGGGGGCCTGGGATTCTAATTGTCTGCTGCCAAGGGGACCCAGGAATCCAGGGGTGAAAGGCAGAGGGAAACGTGTGGGGTGGAGTTCATGAGCGGTGGGGAGAAGGGCAGGGAGGGCAGGGAAAGGGAGTCCTGAGGCTGCAGGCACCCCGGGGCTGGGGGCCACGGCACAGGCCAGGGTCTAGGCCCTTCTGGGAGGTGGGATTAAGAAGACACTTTTCCCCTCCAAGCCTCACTTTCTTTATTTATAAAATAGAGAAAATAACACATCATAGACTTGTTATGAGGATTTAAGGAAATAATGTTTATAAAGCGCTTCCCAAATGCTCAATACCCAGTAAGCCGTCAGTAGATGCCAGGTATTATTTTTCCTGTTCTTGTCACCCATTATTATTATTGGTTATTGTCTCAGCCTATTTGGGCCGCGTGTGCTGGGTGGTTTAAACCACACATATTTCTCACAGTCCTAGAGGTCGGGGAGTGTAAGATCGAGGCACCGCGGGCTGATTGGCGTCTGGCAAGAGTCTGCTTCCTGGGTCAGATCTGTGTCCTCAGCAGGTGGAAGGAACAAAGGAGCTCTCTGGGGTCTCTTTTATAAGAACTCCACCCTCGTGACCTAATCAGTCACCAGCGGCCCCACCTCCTCACACCATTACCTTGGGGGTTAGAATCTAACACATGAATTTGGGGGGAACATGAGCATTTAGTCTATGGCAGTTCCCATGATCATATTCTGTGATTGTTATTATCAAGAGAAACTTGGTGGAAGAGAACTGAAACTGGGGATACAGCCCCTAGGCCACCGCTTCATTTCTCAAAAATTTCTCAGTTCACCTGAGGTTCCTGTTAAAATGCAGGTTCTAATTCCGCAGGTCTGGGGTAGGGTCTGAGGTTCTGCCTTTGTAACCTGCTCTCAGGTGATGCTCATGTGGCTGGTCCGCAGCCCACACACTGAATAGCCAGACACTAAAACTACACTGTCCAGTACGGTAGCCACATGTAGCTGGTGAGCACTTGAAATGTGCCCAGTCCAAACGGAGGTGTGCCGGTAAGTGAAAAATCTACAGCAGATTTCAAAGGCTTGAGAAAAACTACAAAATAATGTAACATGTCTGTCTAATAATTTCTTCTGATATTGATTGCATGTTGAAATTATAGGATATGGCTAGTTAAAAAAATTACTATCATAGTCTATTTCACCTGTTTCTTTCTACTTTTTTGGATGAAACTACTAAAAAATTGTATATTACACGAGCACATGTGGTTCACATCTTGTTTCTGTTGGAGACCACTGCCTCGAGCTTTCTTTGGCTTTGTTGGGCAATTCACTTTGAAGAACTGAGCATTGGAAGTGGGCCCTGAGTTCCTGACCTGAGATCCACAGGCAGTGAGAGGCGGAAGGGATGGACCTCAGGTCCAGGGAGGAGAAATGATCAAAATCACCCAATGGAACTTAGACTACAGCCCAAGACTTTGTTCGGCAAGTCAGTACGTGCTATGGTCATCCTAGGGCTGACCACAGGCTTCTCTTCAAACTCAGTGTCTCCCCGGAGCCCAGAATTCATGACAATGCTCTCTCTCCTCTTTGGTGACAGGCAGGAGGCAGCATGAGGCTGTGGCTGAGAGGACTGGTCCTCCAGGTGCTGAGACGTGCCCGGGGTACCTGCGGGTCTCCGGGGCGGCCGCCACCTCTACCTGCCCCTCAGAAGGTCGTGGCCACCTGGGAAGCCATCAGCCTGGGGAGGCAGCCAGTGCCTGAGTACTTCAACTTTGCTCATGACGTGCTGGACATGTGGAGTCAACTGGAAAAGGTGAAACTCACTGTGTCCTAGGGTCCCTCTTGACTTAGGAATTTGACAAGTCTTAAAATGGAAACTATTATTGTTGCAGCTTTAGGGAAAAAAAACTGTGACCAAGTTTTTGAGCTGTAGACATCCTCGCCCAATTCCTGGTGTGTCTCATTTCTGAGTCCAGACCACACAGTGAGAGAGTTACACCCCTTTTGATTCCTTTCCAGTCATTCTGATCAAGTGAAGGAGAAAGTTTTGTCTACTAGTAGTCTGTTTTTAACATCTCCCTCACGTCACACACGTCCCTCCTAAATAAGGCAAGAGCTTGGCTCAGGCTCAAGCTTTTCACAGATCACAGCTGATGCATAGAACTGAATTCAGATTATCTTGATTTCTCTGTGTGTCTCTGTGCACATGACTCCTTTATTTTCCCTTATGTTGTTGTGTCTCTCTCTGTATTTTATGTTAAAGGTACTAACTTTTTATTTATAGTAGGAGAAAATATAAACTTTATTTCAAAGAATTTATTTATGTTAATTTTAAGAGGAGCTTTCTTAAAGACAAAATATGAAATAAGTAATAGTGTGAGTAGGTACAGGAACAGTCCAGTCCACTGTCAGTGGATATGGTAACATTTATGAAGGTGCTGTGAGAATGGCTGAGATTTTACACCTGCAGGCTTGGTGGTCAGACAGATGTGGCACATCGACTTGAACTGTGACCTTGGACACACACCTTGAGCTTTTTGGATCTCGTCTATTAAAAGCGAGTCATGCCATGTGCTGCTTGGAATTGTGAGAATGAATGGAAACTGTCTGTGAGAGATGGAGCTGGGTGCTCCTTTCCTATCTGCAAAGTGTCAGGTTTTTTTGGTTTTTTTAAGCACACTAGGCTCATCCTTAGAAGACTTCTCTTAATGATGAAAACAAATAAGGTTAAGTCAGCAAAAATGGTAGAAAAAGAGCTTTCTAAAATTTTCTCTTCCCTAAAAGCAACCACAAAAACAGTAAAAACCTTAGAAAAACTGTCAGAATCAAATTTTCAGAACTCTGGAAACTAACCAAAAGCTGAAGTAATCCAGGGGGATATTTATTAAAGAAACACTCAAGATTTGGATGAATCTCAGTAAGGACAACCCTTGGATATTACCTCCTTATGCAAAAATACAGCCTTTATGACTCTGCTGATACAAGTTTCAAACACATCTGATGAAGTTTAGCTTTCACAAACCAAGGAGCTGCCAGAAAATAACAGCCTCTCCATTCTGCATGCATTTTGAAGCTTACCTGAAATCTACCTTTTCTAAATGAATAATATTAAGTTGAACTGTACATTTTAAAAACTTAATTACCATTAAAGCAGAAATTATAAGGATGAAAAAAAAATGGTTATACATCTCAAATCGGTCTACATGCTAAATGTAATCTTTATAAAAATTCCAGGGGATTTCTTTGCAGAAATAAACAATCTTGTCCGAAGAGTCATGTGGAAACACAAGGGACCCATAACAACCAAAAGAATCATGAAAAAGAAACACAAAACTAGTGGACACACACTTTCTTATTTCAAAACCTAATACAAAGTTACAGTAATTAGGACTGTGTGAGGAAAAAAAAACCCCAAAAATGACAGTGTGGTTCTGACGTAAGGATAGACATGGATGAACAGGATAGAATTGAGTCCAGAAATAAATTCATAAATCTATGGTCAATTAATTTTCAGCAGAAGTGCCAAGAAAATTCAATGAGGAAAGAATTGTCTTTTCAACTAATGGTGCTGGCACAACTGGATATTCACATGCAAGAAAAATGAATGTGGTCCCCTACCTCACACTACATACAAAAATGAATTCAAAAATGGATCAAAGACCTAAGTAAAGGAGTAAAAACTATAAAATTCTTAGAAGAAAATATAGGTGCATATCCTGGATTAGGAAATGGTTTTGTA